CGCCTGGTGCCGGCACCTGTTGCCCGCCTGCGGGGCCCGGCGCGGGGCGTGCGGCCCTGCCGCTGGCTCCTGTGGGTTTATGACTCCGGGCTTCCGCTCCTGCCGCTGTGGAGCGGGGACGATGGAGCCGTGTGCCGCGTGGGCTTACGGGGCGCCCGGGCGCGTCAGTGCCGTCGGTGCTCGGTGCTTCCTAGGGACGCTGCCCGGGGCCTGCGAACGAGGTTGGGGGACCCCGCCGGGGCGGGAGGGGTGCGCCGCGGCGTTTACAGACCTCCTCGTGGGCCTGACGGTCGACCACCACGTCGTTTTTACTTTTTAGTTAAAATATTTTGTTTATTTTTAAAATAACAGATAGTAACCATTTTACAAAATGATTAGAACCGAAAGGTGGAGTGAAAATTAAAGAATCGCATCCCCAGTGCTGCTTCCTGGAGTTAAGTTCTGGAAGCTATATGCCAAAGGCGTTTTCTCCAAGTGTATAAATATGCGTGTGAATGTAATCATTCTTCATAACGAACACGCCATGACTCTAGAGAGTTTGGCCTGTGGCAGGGTGACAGAGGAAGTGATAGGAGCTTTATGGTTCCTTGGCGTCCGAGTTGTCCCTCCATAGGCTCCTTGAGCCGGGCTGGTTCCAGTTGTCCCTCCGCACTCTGCGGGGTCACACGTGTGAGCATCCAGTAGAAGGAGGGATGACATGGCCCCACCCCAGAGAAGGCATTCGGAGGAGAAGAGACACGTCCACAGAAAGCTTGAGGGGTGTATTGAAAGGGGCCCTGAACTGACACTCAGCTCCTTTGGATTCTTGTCCAGGCTCTGTGGGCCAGGACTGTCCAGGTCGGGGTTCTCATCTGCGAGGTGTGAAAGGTGGTGGTTCCAGGAAGTAGGCTTCTGCACTTCATCGCCTACACGCCCCAGCACACGTACAGGTACTCTCACCAATGGCCCATAAATTCCTTGTCCCCCAAATTGGTGGTGTGTTTGTTGTTTGGCCATTTTGGTTGTCACCTGGGACTTGGAAGCATTCTTGAGTAGAGACTGAGGTCTCGGTCCTAAGGGCCCCTGTGAACCACTGTGGTACCTGTAGGCTGTCTGATCGGTTGTGGCCTTCTTTGTTGTCTCCTCTCCCTTTTCTACAATTGCTTCCTTGTTCTTTCCCGCCCAGGGTAGAATAGGAGACAAATGTCATTCCTGGCCTTAAGGGTTCTACTAGGAAGCTAATGACTTGGCCCTGGTTGGTTAGGGTTCCCAGAATAAAGGATTCTCATAATCACTCTTCATCCTGGTGTTGTCCCGTCTCAGGAAAAGTGTCACCCCACAAACTTACCAGCCTATTGCATTCCCTCTTTATCTCCTCACTTTCAAGGGATGCGTAGGTAGATTTCTAGTCAGTTAACATTTGCTGAGCACCAGTCACATCCTAGTTTCTGTCCTGAGGCTTTCTTTCCATTTTTTTCAAAATTTGTTTTTAAAATTTACGTAGAGTAAGATTCACTTATTTTGGTGTTCAGGGCTATGAGTTTTGATAAATGCACAGAGTCATGTATCCAGCAGTCAAGATCCGGAACAGGTCCGTCACCCCCAATTTCATTCTTGCTGTGTCTTTGTGGCCCCTGCACGCCTAACCCCTGGTACCATTGATCTGTCCTTCAACCCTTTAGTTTTATCTTTTCTAGAAAGTCATATAAATGGAATCATACAGCAGATAGCCTTTTGAGTCTGGCTTCTTCCATCCAGCACGGTGCACTTGAGATTTGAGTGTTGCGTGTGTCACCTGTTGGTCCCTTCTGCTTATTGCTGAGTAGCATTCCGTTGTATGGATGTGCCACTGTTTGTGTAGCCATTCTTCCCTGTGTTTTTGTGTGTGTGTGTATGAGAGGAGGACTAGCCCTGAGCTAACATCCTATGCCAATACTCCCCTTTTTCTTGAGGAAGATTGGCCCTGGGCTAACATCCGTGCCCATCTTCCTCCACTTTTTATATGGAATGCCGCCACAGCATGGCTTCACAAGCGGTGCGTTGGTGTGTGCCCGGGATCCGAACCCTCGAACCCCGCGGCCGCCGAAGCGGAGCGCGCACACTTAACCGCTTGCGCCACCGGGCCAGCTCCCTTCCCTGTGTTTTTAACAGCGGCCCTTTGAGACAGTATGTCCCCACTAGGCAGTGAGGAACTGGGGATGGAGAGGCTTAGGAGCAGAAATAAATTTTGATCCAACTCCAAGTCCAGGGTTCTTTCCCACCACACCTGAGAGCTGACTTGGTCCACTGACCCAATTAGCATTTCTTTTTTTTTTTTTTTAATAACTTTTATTTTATTTTATTTTATTTATTTTTTATAATTTTTTATTTATTTATTTCCCCCCAAAGGCCCAGTAGATAGTTGTATGTCACAGCTGCACATCCTTCTAGTTGCTGTATGTGGGACGCGGCCTCAGCATGGCCGGAGAAGCGATGCGTCAGTGCGCGCCCGGGATCCGAACCCAGGCCGCCAGCAGCGGAGCGCGCGCACTTAACCGCTGAGCCACGGGGCTGGCCCCCCAATTAACATCTCTTTACTGCCCATCCGAGAGGTTGTCAGGCTCCTTGAGTTCTGGAGAATTCCCTTTCTGGAATCTGGGGCCTGGGGATTGATGAAGGAAGATACACACTGCAGTTTATGACTCGCCACATATGTTCCTCTTTCTGTCTGGTGACAAGGTCGTACAGCCAGACAACATTTAGTGAAACAAAGTTGTCCAGGGCAGTCCCAGGAGTTGACTGCATTGGGGAGCAGTCTGAGAGGTAGTGACATAGCAGACTACTGCGGGCAGGAGTGTGACCAACCTGTTTCATTCCCTGGAACAACCAGAAGGAAAGACCTAACCCCTGGGCCTCCCTCCACAGCAATGTCGGAGCTCAGCGATGAAGCCAGTGAGCCAGAACTCCTGAACCGCAGCTTGTCCATGTGGCACGGGCTGGGTACACAGGTCAGCCGGGAGGAGCTGGCCGTCCCCTTGGATCTTCACACCGCTGCTTCCATCGGCCAGTATGAAGTGGTGAAGGAATGTGTGCAGCGGTAAGAGATCCTGGGAAAAGTTCTTTCTCCTCCGTTGAGTACCGTCTCAGTGGCATCAGACCCCGCAGAGAAAGATCCGTGAGCTAACGGGGCCTTGCGGGCAGTCGTAGACGTTAGTACGTATGGCAGAGATTAACCCCTTCTTCTCTCGGACAGCTGTCAGTAATGATTTATGCTGGACACTAGTAAGGAAGGCAGTTTTTATTCCTAGGAAGAAAAAGATGGTTTAAACTTTTTTCATAGGCTTAGGAACATTTCAGGCTTACTTTAAGCAGAGTAATTTTATGGTTTTCACTAATTGCAGAAATGCTCAAACAAATGAAACAAAAATAAAGATAGAAAGCGATGCCCTGTGGCCTTCTTTTCCAAGGGCGTTTGTTTTCATCCCCATGCCCTCCTCTCCCCACTAGCTTCTGTCATGGTGGGGGGGGGGCGTGGTTCGTCTTCCCCTTCCCCTCTGGAGGATTGCTTCCTGGACTAACTGCCCACAAGCTGCTTTTACTAATCTCATACATCTGTGAAGTCCCAATACCACTGCAGTGGCCCTCAGCTATGTCTTGTTTGTAGTACAATATGATACTTAGTAAGGATCTGTCTCCTTGCCTCCATGCCCTTAGGTCCACCACACTTCACGCTCACTGTCTCATAGATAACTTGGGGAAACATCTATGTGTGTACCTACATGGGCCTTTTCCAGTTCCCGGGGAGCCACAGCGAACCCTCACCGAAGCCCCTGATTTCTGGTGCCCAAGTCATAGCATCACTTATAAATCCTGGCCAATCAAGTACAAGTACACTGTGGTAAAGGATGATCTGTCCCACTCCTCTACCAGGTGGCCTTAGGAATGTGTAGCTGAGTACGCAGGCAGCACATCCCCCTCAGAGGGTCTCTGAGACCCCCGTTATAACTCTGCTCCTTTGACATTCTCGGGCTTTTAAGCCTTTGAGTGTGCTGTTAAAATGCACAGTCCAGAGCAGCTCCACGGAGGAGAAGAGGGAAGCATTTGTGTTCTGATTGGGATTGTGATGCTAGCTGAGACTGAGGTTTGCTCACAGTAAGCACAGAGTAGGGACCCGAGGGGAGCTGGAGGCATCAGAAGGGAGGATTAGGCTGAAGCGCAGGTGCGAGAGCCTCCGAGCCGCTCTGCCAAGGGTCATGCTCCTCTCTCTCCATGTGGAATTGAGTGCTCTGTCAGTGAAAGTCATGTGGTAAAGATGAACTGGTCTCCATGCGGCTCTCCCAGCCAGTGGGAATGCCACTTCATTCCTGGGAGCAGGACCTTCCGGAATGGCTGCATGGGCATGCAAGTGACAGAGTCAGTAGAAGATGCTAGTGAATGGAAAATCATTGTCTGGTGTAGCTTAATGTGTGTCTGCCTGTGAGAGGCATAAACTGTGTGGACCGACTATCAGTTGTTCCCTCCACTGGAGGGAGAGATAGTGGAGGAGGAAAGCCTGCGGGGCATGAACTGTGTAGGGTGTACCTGGAAGTAGATATCATTTCCATACCCCAACCCCAAAGTCTGGGTTGGGAGGCACACATCTTTTTCCTGTGGGAAACGCTTTTCCAGAATTTTAGTGGAAATCAGTGAGAAAGATAGGATTCTCTGGTCATGGATTTTCCAACAGTGTTTCTGTAGGGTGAGGTGACAAAGGAGAAATCACTTGCAGTGGAACTCATCCGTCGTCTGAGTCTCTTTCTCCTCCACCCAGCACTGGACTAGCAGACTCTGGTCTGTGGGTTGAAGGTAGTCAAGGCTCCAGGTCAAGGTTTCTTGACCTCGGCACTACTGACAATCTGGGCCAAATCATTCTTTGTTGTGGGGGGCTGCCCTGTGTGCTATAGGAAGTTTAACAGCATCCCTGGCCTCTGCCCACTAGATGCCAGTAGCTTTTTCCTCCCCAGTTGTGACAACCAGATATGTCTCCAGACTTTGCCAAATGTCTCCTGGGAGGCAAAATTATCCCTGGTTGAGAACCATATCTAGCTGGTGGTAGGAAAGGAGAGAATTGCTGGCCCTGGGATAGGAGGAGGGGGCAGAGGACAATGTGACATCAGAGGAGGGAGACAAACGCTAAGGACTTTGCCGAGGCAAATGTCACCATTTCCCCGCCTGCCTTCCCCCAGCCCCAGTGATGTCCAGGGTGGCAGATATTCTGCTTCCTGTCAGCACTTCCCGCTCTTTCTCTTGGCCTGGCCTTGCCGCCGGCTTTGGTAAAGCCCCCATGTGAGCGGCTGGGCATGCCTAGCATATCTTACATTTGTTTAGGAGAGAGTTAGATTTGAATAAGAAGAATGGTGGTGGCTGGACCCCGCTGATGTATGCCTCCTACATTGGACACGATACCATCGTGCACCTGCTGCTCGAGGCGGGGGTGAGTGTGAATGTGCCGACCCCGGAAGGGCAGACTCCACTGATGCTGGCTTCCAGCTGTGGCAACGAGAGCATCGCCTACTTTCTCCTCCAGGTGAGCTACGAGGGGGCTCAGGCCCAGAAACCGGAGGGGCTCCCCGGCCGCTCTGGCAGAGACGTGAACTACTGCAGGCCCTGGTGTGCGTGCACGTGCTCGTGTCATCACTTCGATTCTTTCAGCATGGCAGCCTGGAGGGTGCCCACCCCGCGCAGAGGAGACGAGGCCGTAACGAGCATTCTGTGTTCTCTTGAAGCAAGGTGCTGAGCTAGAAATGAAGGACATTCAAGGCTGGACTGCCCTTTTCCACTGCACCAGCGCTGGGCACCAGCAGATGGTCAAGTTCCTTTTGGACAGTGGAGCGAATGCCAACGTGAGGTGATTACCAGGTCTTAAGTGGCCATGGGAGTGGGCTTGGTCACTTCTACCTCTGAGGAGGACAACTGTAGAGGCAGCTACAGGCCAGAGTGCAGGCGGCCCCTGCCTCGGTATGGGAGGGTCAAGACAACAGGGCAGAAAGGACAGTCCCGCCTGGGATCCTAGCTTTTTCACGCATCTGTCAGGTGACGTTGGGTGCGGCACTTTAAGCTCGCTGAGCCTCATTTTCTTTATCTGAAAACTGGAGGTAGCAATACCTATGTCATAGAGTCTAGAGTCGTTAGAAGAAATACATGTTCTGTCGTATGCCAGGGGCCTAGTGTAGTGAATGGCACTTAATTGACATGCATTAGATGCTAATTCTTTTCTCCTTTGTGCCTTTTGTATGGATCAGGTGAGGTGATGCTTTGAAGACAGTAGTGAGTTTTGTAAGCCTGAAGGGATATTATTGCCTAAAGTGTGTCATGACGATAATTTCCTTTCAACACAGCTTCCAGCTGGCACTGTGCACACCCCCTGGCTGATGTCATCCATCATATGACACACCGTAGCCTTACATGCCACTGAGAAAGAAAAAAATGGTACTAGTTAAAATGCAACTCGCCTATGGATTTTAAGACACATTCTGACTTCAGAGGTGTTAAAATGTGAGAAAGGTGTGTCTTAGGGTGGATGACACTGAGTATTCAGCTTGGTTCCTGTCTTCTGGACCAGCATGAGAACAGTGAGGGTTAGGAGCACTCTGAAGACAGCGCTGAGTGAACCGTAACCGAGCACAGAGAATAAGCACCAGGTACTAGGCGTAGAAGGGCAGGGTAGATGATGTGTCCTGGAGCCTGGGGAGGGATCCTGGAGGATGGTAACTCAGACGATGGGATCTGGATGGGCGGGTAGAACGTTAGCTTTCTGTGGGCAGTGAAGCGCAGCAGCTTTTCGCTCGTGATTCAAGTGGAGATGTAGAGATGGCAGGCGGAAGCAGCTTAGAAGGAGGGAGGATAGGGAGACGTTGTCTTTGGGACAGAAGACTGGAGCTGGGGGTAGAAACCACAAGAGTTTGTGGGCTGCTGTGTGGATATGCACTTTCTCATCTCTCCCTGTTAATTCTTGCGAGAGGGAGGCCTCTACGCTTGGGGTGGACGGCTTGGCACCATCCTGCTTTTGTCTGCAGCAGAGAAGCTTCTGCCTGGCAGACCTTCTCTCCACAAGTCATCTGACTGTGGCCTCTGTCTTGCAGGGAGCCGATATATGGATTTACTCCTTTGATGGAAGCAGCGGCCGCTGGCCATGAGATAATCGTGCAGTATTTTCTGAATCATGTAAGTGACTCTATTTATTAGCTTACAGTTTAGTCACAGTAAGTGAACAATCATCACTGAAGTATAAACTATAAGAGAATTTTCTGATACATGGAAATAACTGCTCTTTATCTCTTTATTCAACACATTTTCATTGAGTATCTATTGATGCCAAGTGTTGAGTGGTGCCTAGGCGTTAGGGGTACAGTGGTGAGTAAAAATAGACACCTATTCCTGTGATAATTTTGAAAATACTTTTATTCGAAAAGTATGGAAAATATATTTTAAAAAGTAAATAGCACTCATCATCCCATTACTTAAAAAATAGAGAGAGAAAGAAGGCAAAGATCCTTCTCCCTTCTCAGCCACTCCCTGTTCCTCCCCAAGATGGCCACTTGGTGTGATAAAGAGACACCCAGGACTTCTCCTCTGCTTGGAAAGGTATGTCTAGAGACATCTGCAGACACACTGTTTGTTTTGAACAAAGTGGGATTCTACTGGATGTTTGCTCTGCAGCTTTTAAAAAATAACTTACTGTGCCATAGACATTTTATTCTTGTACAGTATTCCGTGTATAATCCCTGCCATAATTAATTTAATCAGTTTCTTATTAGTCGAAACGTAGGTTTCCAGCATTTTGCAGTTATAACCAGTGCTCCAGAAGATGTCTGTGTACACATAGCTTGAGTACACATGCAGTTATTTCTGTATGCTGTACTTCTACAAGAGGAGTTGCTGGTGCTCACATTTTAAATTTAATAGGGCCTAATAAAAAGACAATTATAGGCAAAGGATCTGAATAAACGTTTTTCCATAGAAGACATACAGATGGCCAATAAGCATGTGAAAAATGCTTGATGTCATTAGTCATCAGGGAAATGCAAATCAAAACTACTAGGATGTCTCTAATAAAAAAAACCAGACAAGGGGCCGGCCCAGTGGCATAGTGGTTAAGTCTGCTTCAGCAGGCTGGGGTTCATGGGTTCAGATCCCAGGCGTGGACCTACACACTGCTCATTGAGCCACGCTGTGGTGGCATCCCACTTACAAAATAGAGGAAGATTGGCACAAATGTTAGCTCAGGGACAATCTTCCTCAAGCAAAAAGAGGAAGATTGGCAACAGATGTTAGCTCAGGGCCAATCTTCGTCACCAAAAAAACAAAAAAACCAGACGATAACAAGAGGTGGTGAGGATGTGGAGAAATCAGAACCCTCATACGCTACTGGCAGGAATGTACAATGATGCTGCGTCTTTGGAAGACAGTCTGGCAATTCCTCAAACAGTTAAACATATAGTTACCATATGACCCAGCACTTCTACTGCTAGGTATATACACAAGAGAATTATATACCAAGTCCATGCAAAAACTTACACACAAATGACCATAGCAGTGTTATTCATAATAGCCAAAAGGTGGAAACAACACAGATGTCCAACCCAAATGATAAATGGAAAAATAAAATGTGGTCTTTCCATACAAGGGAATATTAATTGGCCACAAAGGAATGAAGTACTAATACATGCTACAATATGGATGAACCTTGAAAACATTATGCTGAGTCAAAGAAGCCAGTCACAAAGGACCATGTATTGTATGATTCCTTTTATATGAAGTGTCCAGAATAAGCAAGTCTTTAGAGACAGAAGGTAGATTAATGGTTGCCTACAACTGGGGGGGGATGGGAAGATTGGGGAGAGCATGATGGTTAAGGGGTACAGGATTTCCTTTTAGGGTGATGAACCTGTTCTAAAATTGATTGTGGTAATGGTTGCCTGCCATTGAATTGTGCACTGTAAGTGGGTGAATTTCATGGTATGTGTATAGCTTAATAAAGTTGTTAAAGAAATCCGGTGGAAGAAATATTTAGTAAGTCCTAACAAATTCCTACTAAAAAGGTTGTCCTCTGTGTCCTTCCCACCAGTAATCTACGAAGGTACCCATTTCCTCTCATCCTCACCAGCCCCGGATGTTTCCCATCTTAAGTTTTTGCCCATCTCATGGGAGAAAAGTGGCATCTCGCTTTGGTTTGTACTTATTAATGAGGTTTAACATTTTAAAATATGTTTATTTGCCATTTGTATTTCTTTTATAGGAATTGTCTCTATGTTTTGAGGCCAGTTTTCTATTGGATAGTTGTTTTTTCTTACTTATTGGTGGGAACTTTAGAATAGTAAAATGTTAGCATGCTGTATCTTTTAAAAATAGGATTTAGGGGGCTGGGCATGGGGCCTAGTGGTTAAATTCAGTGTGCTCTGCTTTGGCGGCCCGGATTCGGTTCCCGGGAGCAGACCTACTCCACTTGTTGGTGGCCGTGCTGTGACGGCGACCCACATACAAAATAGAGGAAGACTGGCACAGATGTTAGCTCAGGGCCAATCTTCCTCAGCAAAAAAAAAAAAGAATTTGGGGACCGTACATTAACATGGTAAAAACGAGGATGAGACAGAAGGTACGCAGTGAGCCTGCCTCCCACCTCTGCCTCAGTCCCTCGATCGCTCTCCCCATGTCTGCTCCTCAGCTTGCTTGTTTTTTTTAAAACTTAACTGTCCTGGAGATTGTTGTGTAGCAGCATATATAAAGCTCTCTTCTCTCTCTTTTTTTGTGGCTGCATGGTACTGCCTTGAAGGGATGAATGAGAGTTTCTTGAACAGTGGTCTAAGATAGAGTTAGGTCGCTGCCAACCGTTTGCTCTTCTGCACAGTGCTGTGGAGAATATCTGTGCACAGGTATCTCTGCACACATGTGAGACCACATCTGTACCGTTCAGTACTGTAGGTGGCAGTTCTGGGTGAAGCGTTAAGTACAGTCTCAACACGGATGTTGCCAAATTGCCATCCAAAGAGCAAGTTGTACCAACTGACACTCTTTCCACAGCAGCAAGAATTCTGAATCTTAAATTATGAAGTACTTGAAACATACAAAAAAGTACAGAAGACAATATTCATAAGCTAATGCATGTGATCCAGAGGTAACCTGTGCACACGATGGTCTGTGCCTTTCCTGTCCCTGATTTTACACTTTTCACCACATAACTGTGTGTCCTTAAGCAATGAACAGACTTGTTTTATATATTTTACAGATTTACGTAAATAATGCACCAGACTGTATGTGTCATTCAGCAGAGCGTTGGTACGTGTAGACGTAGTTCACTCATTTTAACAGCTCTGTATTTATGGACTGTATGAATATATTACATTTACCCATTCCTTTCTTAGGGGACGTTTAAGTTGTGTCCACTCTGCTATTCCTAACAGCACTGCAGTTGGCATTGTTTTTTACCTGTCTTCTTGCGCATGTGGGAAGGGATTTCTTTGGATCAGGATGTGTTCTTCAAAGCCGAATTGTTGGTGTGTAGGGTGGGTTCGTCTTCACCCCTACTATTCATAGGACAGAGAGCTTCTTCCACAGCTGTCCCCTCGACACTCCTCTCATTGGGTTTGGTGGCTCTTGTCTCCTGCACCCTCAATAGCACTGGGTACGTGGTTTCACAGGAGCTGTCTCCTGTTGACTTTTGCCTTTCCCTGATTTCTGGTGAGGTTGAGCATCTTTTCATACATTTATTGGCCATTTGGACTTACTTTTCTGCAAATAATTATTCTTTGAAGGTAATTGCACTCACACATACAAGGCATCCTTAAGACATAGTAGAGAGTCAAGAATAGATGGGTAGGGGCCCAGAACTGAAAAGCATAACCTCTGCTTCTGAGTTTAGAGTCTGATTTTAAGTAAGGTACAACTGGAGATTGTAAGGGACAGTTACTCTCACAGTTTTTTAAACAGAAAACATTGGAAAATCAGACTTTAGATCATTTATCTACATGCAGATTACGCCCTCATTTTGGTGCCTTTACTCCCCAGCTGGGTCTGAGATTGTGTGTGGGCACCTCATATTGAGTGAAAACAAATTGTGTTGGATTTCTTTGGGGAATTTTTTTTTTTTTTTTTTTTTTTGCTGAGGAGGATTTGCCCTGAGCTAACATCTGTTGCCAATGTTCCTCTTTTTGTATGTGAGCTGCCACAACAGCATGGCCACTGTCTGACGAGTGGTGTAGGTCCTTCCCTGGGAAAAGAACCCAGGCTGCTGAAGTGGACTGCACTGAACATAACCACTAGGCCACTGGGGCTGGCCCTAGAAAAATTTTTAAATTTTAAATTTTGAAATAATTTCAGACTTAAAGAAATGTCACAAAATAGTACACAGATTAGTACCTTCACTAAATTCCCCAAATGTTAACATTTCACCTCATTTTCTTTATCAGTCTCTCTATATTTATATACATATTATATTTTTGGAACCATTTGAAAGTAAGTTGCTGCCATAATGCCCTTTTCCCCCTAAATACTTTAGTGTGTATTTCCTAAAAACAAGAATTTTCAGGGCCAGCCCGGTGGCGTAGCGGTTAAGTTTGCATGCTCTGCTCTGTGGCCCAGGGTTCGCCAGTTTGGATCTTGGGCGTGGACCTACTCACCACTCATCAAGCCATGCTGAGGAAGCGTCCCACATAGAAGAACTAGCAGGACCTACAACTAGGATACACAACTAGGTACTGGGCCTTTGGGGAGAAAAAAGAAAAAAGAGGAAGATTGGCAACAGATGTTAGCTCAGGGCCAATCTTCCTCAAACAAAAAGAAAAGAATTTTCTCTTTCATAATCACATACAATGATCAAATTCAGGAAATCAACAGTGAGTTCTTCTCCAGCGCACCAATCAGGAATCGAAAGTGTTGGTCAATTCCAGGTGATTGCTTTCTGGCTTAGGGGGCCGGCGGGCATGGCCTGGAGTTCATGGTGATGGGCCAGGTTGTTCTGCTGCCGAGGAGGCTGTCTGGTAGCCCTGTGCGGATGCCCCTCGTTCCCTGCAGATGTCCTCCTGCTCAGTCATGGTTAGACTGCAGGGAGCCGGAGGGGTGGGCCCACCTGGTCTCCTGCCCTGCCCCTCCAGATCCAGGCTCCCTCCTCGGAGATGTAGAAGTGGGTGAGGCCCGGCACCCTGTGCTCTTGGCCAGGGGAGAAAAGGGCTGTAGCTGCTTCCCTTGCACCTCCTTTCCCGTCTTCCCTTGGGGCCAGCCCCCTGCAGCTCAGTCGGGGCAGGAGGATCTGGGCATGTCTGGGCCTCTCTCAGGAGAGAGCTGAGAGCTGAAGCCCTGGCCCTCAGCTTGAGGAGTGTGCCCACCATGATACTGCTCTGTGGTCTCTCAGCTTTTTGATCCCACTTTCCTGTCAGTTAAAATGAATTTTGATCATGTACTTTCTAATAATAAATTATGTACATAATAAAATAGGTAGAAAAATAGAAAAAAATTTAAAGGATAAATAAATAGAAATTCTAATATTTTCTTCCCTCATCTCAGGGATATTCCTTTTCTCGGTTCTGTTTTCTTCCTCATTTCTTACTCACTAAGAGTAGTATTACTGCTATTTTTCTCCTTTAGCATAATCTGAAATTGAAGTCTTCCAGGCTTCAAAACAGATATTCGTTAAAACCCTACAGTACAGATGGTATTGTTTGTTCTGGTTGAAACCTTTGGGTTCCTTCTGTCAAACTGAAACTAGAAATTACCTTTTTTTCCCCCAGTTTTATTGAGATGTAATTGACATACATCATTGTATAAGTTTAAGGTGTGCAGCATAATGATTTGACTTACTTATATTGTGAAATGATTACCACAAGTTTAGTTAACATCCTTCATCTTATATAGATACAAATATATATATGTATACTTTTTTTCCTTGTGATGAGCACTCTTAGGGTTTACTTTGTTAACAACTTGCATGTATGCCACACGGCAGTAGTGCCTGTAGTCATCATGTTGTACATTACATCCCCGTACTTATTTATCTTATAACTGGAATTTTCTGCCTTTTGACCACTTTCATCCAATTCCCCTTCCCTTTACCCCCCTAGAAACTGTCTTTTAAGGCTGAAGCTTTCATAGCTGATTTCATTCTTTTTTTGTGTGTGTGTGTGTGAGGAAGATCAGCCCTGAGCTAACATCCGTGCTAATCCTCCTCTTTTTGCTAAGGAAGACCGGCTCTGAGCTAATATCTATTGCCAATCCTCCTCCTTTTTTTTTTTTTCCCCCAAAGCCTCAGTAGATAGTTGTATGTCATAGTTGCACATCCTTCTAGTTGCTGTATGTGGGACACAGCCTCAGCATGGCCGCACAAGCGATGCGTCGGTGCGCACCCGGGATCCGAACCCGGGTCGCCAGTGGCAGAGCGTGCGCACTTAACCACTAAGCCACAGGGCCGGCCCCTCATAGCTGATTTCTAACCAGAGCTCTGGAAAGTGGGGGATTATAGAAAGTAAAGTTCAATTAGGCTCTTGTAAAAATGGGGTTTTTTCCTTCCAGAGGGAAGTGTGATAATCACCTTCTGTACTGGGCTCAACCGAGACTGTCCGTTGATCATAGTTTTTCAAAATAGGGGAAAAGAGTATATATATAATTATTTATTATACACGTGATATATATTTGCTATAAAAGAATTAGAAAGTACAGTTAAGTGAAAAGAAAGCAAAAATCACTCATAATCCCATCACCCAGAGAGAGCACATGTTAACACACTGTCAAATTTCCATCTAGTTTTTTAAGAGATGTGTATTTTAAGTCAAAGTGGAATCCCGTTATACAAAACGTTTTGTGATACACTTTTCTTCTCTTACGATGTCATGTGCACACCTGTCCGCGTTACTGCAAACCCTTGGACCTGTCACATCAGTGGGTGGGTGGTGTTCCATTGTGTAGATGTGTTCGCACTTACTCACTAATGCCATGTTTTAGGCTCTTTCCATTCTCACTGTGCTAAATGCTGCAGGGAAGACCCTAAACGTTAGTGTATGTCCTTAATTATTTCCCGAGGTGAAATTCCTAGAAGTGGCATTGCTGAGTCAAAGGGTCTCTGCACTTTTAACATTTTCACTTCCTCCTCCTAGTTTGCCTCCAGAGCACTGAGCTCCAGTACCCCACCCTCAGACACGAGACTGCACTGCTGAAACTTTTAAAGATTTTATTTATTCAGTTTTTTCCCCCCAAAGCCCCAGTAGATAGTTGTACGTCATAGGTTCACATCCTTCTAGTTGCTGTACGTGGTACTCGGCCTCGCGTTGGACGGAGAAGTGGTGCCTCGGGGCGCTCCCGGGATCCGAACCCCGGGCCGCCAGCATCAGAGCGCGCGCACTTAACCGCTAAGCCACGGGGCCGGCCCTGCTGAAACTTTTAAAATGGAAAGCTTATTGGGCTTTTCCCATTTCAAAAGTAAACATGCTCATAGTAGTAAGTTTAGAAATTATAGAAGTATAGACCGTTAAGAAGAGGGGAAAATGCCCGTTACCTTACTGCCGAAAGGGAAGAAGACTATCCTCTACCCACTCTGGGTCTTTTCTGGCTGGGCTACAAATTAAATTGACATGAGACTGAATAGCAGGAGAAGATCAAACAAAGCTTTATAACAGGTACACATGGGAGAAACCAGGGAAACTGAGTTTCTCAACAAATGGTGAGGTTTTCACCTTAAATAGCATATTCAGGTAGACAAAGGAGGATGTTGGGGGGGAGAGTCAGCTATGGGGGATTACCAGAAAGCACAGTAATCAAGAGTATGCAGATTAAGTCCTAGCCTTCCACACTGATAAGCGTTTCTAGAGGTAAGGTCATCCTCCCTTCTTCCAGGTACAGAGAGGGAGATACCTTTACAAATGGAGATTTCCCTTCAACAGACCTTTGATGAGAAAGGGCTTAGCAAGGACCCTCCAGTCTGTCACTTTTAGGCAGTTTAGAGGAAAGTGAAATGTCTTTCAGAGAAAATAATCAAGATAAAGAGACATATGTTGAGGTGGCCAATTCTGATCTCCCACACTGCTTGAGAATCACATCAACAGTTTGGGCATGTTTCCATCCAGTATTGCTTTCTGTTCACTTGCTTGTTTTGCTGCAGTTGTGTACAGTTTTGTATCATGGTCCTTTTTTAAACTTGGTTATACCAATTATTTGTAAATACCTGCATTTAGGGCAGTCACATAGCTGACTCTCCACTGTGAGCGTATAAGTTGTCTCCAGGTTTTCATTATTGCAAATATGTTGTGCTGAACATCTTTGTGCGTTAATGCTTTCTCTGTATTTCGGGTTATTTCCTTAGGATAGAGTCGCAGAAGTGGAATTACGGTGCTGAAGATTATAAGTACTTCTTTTTAGGGCTTTGGATAACAGTTACCAAATTCTGTTTCAGAAGTGTGGTGCTCATTCTGATTATGATTTGTAAAGGCTGCTTCTCTAGTGAATCTGTTGTCTCCAGTTTTCTCTGTGCGAAGAGAAGCAAAGTGAGTTGGACACTTGCCCAGGTGTACAGGGTGAAGGCTGGGCTTCCCGCACAGCAGCCTGCTGTGTATCCTTCCCCACCCTGAGCACGTGCCTGCCTCTCTCCACTAAGCCACCCCCAGGCGGCTGCACACCAAAGGAGAGTGAACCTGCAGAGCTGCTGCAGCTGTCAGGTGACTGGATTACTGCTCCTTTTGATGAGGCAGCAAGCCCCCCAGCCCCATCCTTCACTTACTCCTTCGTTAAGGAGAGAGTGAGAGACCACACAGGACTTTGCCTCTTTCTCATGCAGATGTGGGGTTGTAGAAGACACAGGACCAGACCTTTCTAGGGTGGTGGTAAGAAGCAGGCGCACTTCCTCTTCTCATCCAGGGTCCACCGCCCGGAAGTGAGGGTGCTTTGCAGCAGAGCTTTCTAACTCGTGTTCTTTCCCAAACTTCCACAGGGTGTCCAAGTGGATACGAGAGACCACAGTGGAGCCACAGCCCGGATGCTGGCCAAGCAGTACGGACACATGAAGATTGTGGGGTTGATAGACGCTCACCTGCCTTCTCTGCCCAAGAGCCTTTATCGGAGCCCAGGTACGTGCCTCTGCGCTCTGCCAGAGTCCCACGGGAGAAAGAAGACCCCTCCTGCTCTGGCTCCCACCTGCTCCCCTGAGGTCTGGCTCCTGCAGCCTTGCTCCCCACTCTTCTCTGCCTCCCCCGGTGACTCCATCGTGCAGTGAAGCTTGGGGCCCGCTTGTCTAATGGGAGGAGACAAGGGAGAGTGTAGAGGGGTACCTGCCAGGTGAAGATGTGCACAGGATGTGGGGCGGGTGGCGCCCACGAGAGGTAGGGCAGCCTCACAAAGGGGATCGCTGCCGGGGTTTTTTCTTGACTTTGCTTATGGTGTTTGTTGCCATGCCAAATGTTTTAATTTTATACAGTCAAATTCATCAATCTTTTATTGCCTTTGGATTTTGAGTCACAGAAAATCTTTCCCTGTGCCCTGGTTGTACAGGAATTTGCCAGTGTTTTCTTCCAATATTTACATGGTTTCATTCTTTTATTTAGATTTCTGATCCATTTACACTTTATTTTCATGCATGATGTGAGGTGTGTTTTTTTTTCAGATAGCTCCCCAGTTGTCCTAGCATCATTTATTTAAAAGTCTGTCTTTGCCCTAGTGATCTGAGAGGCCGTCTTTGCCATACATACCAAGTTTCCATCTGTGCTCCGGTCTGTTTCTGGACTTTCTGTCCTGTTCCACTGTCTCTGTATTCGCACACCAGACCCTTACTGTTGTAATTAGAGGAGCTTTTTGTGATATGTTCTACTATCTAGTGGGGCTAGTCTCCCTCATTACTTTCCTTTTCCAGTGTTTTTTAGCTATTGCTTGTTTATTATTCTGTATGAACTTGTCTAGCTCCTTAAAAACAGGGTGTTGATATTGAGATTGTGGCAAATTGATAAATTAACTACCCCTTTATGTTGTTGAGTCATCGTGTCTAACAATAAGGGATGTCCTTTTGTTCAGGTTTTAGATTTTTCCTCATATACGTTTTATATGTAACGTAAGTTTATTACTAAGTGATTTTCCTTTAATAAGTGTAGAATTTTGTCAAAGGCTTTTTCTCTTTTTTTTTGTGAGGAAGATCAGCCCTGTGCTAACATCTGTGCCCATCTTCCTCCACTTTACATGGGACGCTGCCACAGCATGGCCTGACAAGCAGTGCATCGGTGCGCGCCCGGGATCCGAACCCGGGTCACCAGTGGCGGAGCGCGCGCACTTAACCACTACGCCATGGGGCTGACCCCTCAAAGCTTTTTCAACATCTATGGAAATGATTGTGAATTTTTTCCTTAGATCTGTTAATACGGCATATTATATTAATGAATTTCCTAATAATGAACCAACTTTACATTCTTGGCATAAATCCCACTTGGTGTATTAGTTTCTTAATGTGGTGTTGGATTCTGTTTGCTAATATTTTATTTAGTGTTTTTGTATGGTTATTCATTCATAAATGATACTGGTTTGTAATTTTCTTCATTTGTTCTGTCTTCTTCAGGTATAGGTCCCACCATTATACTTGCTTCCTAAAATGAATGGAGAAGTTTTCCTTCTCTTTTTGTGCTCTGGAACAGTTTATGCAGCATTGGTACCCCATGGTCTTTGAAGGTTTAGTGGGATTCTCCTATGAAACCACCTGGGCCTGGTCTGTCTTTGGGGGGGGGTATTCCCTTGATAAGTTTTTCAATTTCTTCTATAGAAATTGATCTGCTGAAGCTTTCTAATTTCACTGGGGTCAATTTTGGTAAACTGTCTTTTCCTAGGAAATAGTTTCATCCAGGATTTCAAACTTATTTACATAGAGTTCCATAAAATCGTTTTTTCTCTCTCTCTCTTTTAAAAGTGCCTTCTGTTTCAGCGGTTCCTTCCCCTCATCAATCCTCATTCTGCCTGCCTTCAGTCTCAGCCATTTCTCTCTGACCATTTACTTCCCTTCCATCTCTTTCAGTCTTTGGTTGTTTTCTTACTTTTCTTCAATGCTTCTGGTTTAGTTTCTGTTCAGATCTGTTCTTCCTTGGGCACCTTGTAATTTAGTCTTCATTTTGTAATTTGACTTTTTTTTTTTCCATTTCTTTCCTGAGTTCAGTTTTCTTCTCTCACTATTCCGTGTGTGTGCGTGTGTGTGTATTTGTTCTCACTTGTTGAGTTTCTGGTTCAGGATGCTCTTTCCGATCCCCAGATGCTGTTGAAGGCTGTGTCGGTTCAGAGTGTCGTCTTACAGTTGTCTTCTGCCTACTCCTTGTTGGTTTTTTGGTGGGGGTGCGGCATTTTCACTTGCTGAAGTGTTGGGCTCTCCCTTCCGCATCCTCCCTGTAGTTGTATGTGGATGAAGATCACTTGTGTTTCTCACAGGCGGGACTCAGCGGCCTGGCTAGCGTGTGAGTCCTGGTTCAGGAGCTCCCTCCGCTCAGTGTCACAAGGAGAGTCTCCTTACTGGATGGCTGTTTTTTTGGAGGGGGATGTAGTTAGGCCAGTGGTTGCATATCCTCTGATATGTTTTTGTCTTGCCAGATCCTGAACGTCCCCTGCTTGCTTTTTTCCTCACTGCCCAGTTTCCAAAAGGTGCCTCTCTCCAGAAGTGTGGCTGTTCTAAGACCGCTCCCACAGGTCCCATGTGTGTTCAGTCACTTCCCTGTGGTCGTGCTCCGCTCCGCTAGGATTCTTTCTCAGTGTTTCTGCCTGTAGAATGGACTTTGTCTTTCTAGGGGTGACGTTGGCACTGCCTTCCCCTCGTCTCTCTTCTGTGTGGCTTTCTCTAGCCTTGCTTTGCTCCGCGCAGAGAATTGGGGTGAGCGAGCAAGAAGTCTCTCTGCTAGGAACGGGTGTTTGTCTCCCCCTCAGGGGGTGAGGAACTTTGAGGTCTGTGGGCTCTCTGCTCCAGGTTACGTTGAAGGTGTGGGGTTTGTGTGGTTCTGTCTGTGATTCTTGCTGACTCGGGCAGGTTTGAGAGGATGTGTCAGGACGCTCAGATTCATGGAGCCGCCTTTTCCTTGCTTTTCCCTCCCTTGTACATTTATTTTTTATGACGCTTTCATCTTCTGCTTGGACGGGACCATGGTCTCCTGGCAGCAAGATCCTGGAGCAGGTGGGAGTGAGGTGAACTGGGAAAGGAGGGAGTGGTCCATGAGTTTGGAACCTGGGCCAGGCAGCCGCTGAGTTGAGCTGTCACTTCACACCTGAGTGGGCCACTCCCCTTCCAGGGCTGGCTCAGCGGGTGCCCTTCCTGGCCTCAGGGTTGTTTTGTGATAAACCAGCTCACATGAGTGCAGTGGTAATGAAGGGCCTCTCTGCGTCTTCACTCCTGTACCCACTCCAAAATGAGATCTTATCAGCTAGGAGCTTTACACCAGTCAGTCCCTGAATCTTGCCTTCTAGGTGTGATGAAATGTGGAAAACCCTGAAAAGCTATACAATCCTAACAGCTGTAGGCACACTGAGCTCTGAGGCTCAGGTGGGTGGTGGTTTGGAACCCTTCCTAAAACAGCACACACAGCCATCGTGTGGCTTGTTTCCCAAGAAGTTGTCCAGGTTGAGAATATAAAATTGCTAAGAAGTTGTAACTGATGTTGTCATATGTTTATGAAGCGATGGATCTTACCACTTCAATTTAGAATAAAATTTATTTCTGATTGTAAACTGAATATATGCTTGTTATAAAAAATTCTGAAAACCCAGACAAAGAGAGGAATAAGAATTAGACTCCCATCATGACAAACTTTTTCAGCTCAGCCTCATACTTAGCAAGATTGCTGTCCCCTAGATGTCCCCGTGGCTCTTCTGAGCAGTGGACTGGCCCATTCTGTCATTTTGTACAAGTGAAGTCCTGGGAAACACACTTTTCTCCTTAATTTAAGAAAACAAATTAAGATCATTTTCTTCCAGTTTACCATGAGAATTAGTAAATTAGTCCACCACTGAACAGATTGTCTAATTTTGGTGTTTGACCCACAGAAAAATATGAAGATCTAAGCTCTTCGGATGAATCATGTCCTGTTCCTCACAGACAGAGGCCCTGTCGGAAGAAGGGCCTCAGCATCCATGAGGGGCCGCGAGCCTTGGCCAGGATCACAGCTATCGGGCTGGGAGGCAAGACCCAGCGGCCTTGCTATGGTGAGTGTTCCCCATTTCCTGATGGCTCTTTGACAGGGCATTCTAAGATTCTGTCTTGACAATGAACAACTCACAGGCTCCTAAAATGTGGGCCACTCGGTGGGAGCAACAGCTCAAGGATTCAGAATTGATTACAGTGGTGGAAACACATTAGTCATTGGCTAGCTCTTGGGCTTTGGGTCATTCTTTGATTATCCTTTTCATTGGTTAAAATTATAAATAGAACTTTCTTTCTAGTAGCAGGAATGTAGCTAAGCTCAGATTTCATTCATCACATGGTGGGTCAGCTGTGGCAGGGAAGATGTGACCTTGGAGTCTCACTTCCTGTCTGCCCACATCACCTGGGCAGAAAACCTTAACACTTTTGCCGGCCACGAGTGGGATGTGCCTCTGGGGCAGGCCAGGGGTGACTCTGCTCTTGCTCTCTCTTCTCAAGGTGACTGATTTGATGCTCAAACCCTCCTGAGAGCTGTTAGATGGTACACTTGGTGGGGTAGATTCCTAGACTCCGAGTTTCCAGATCTGCTGAGTTTATCCTCAAATTGTCGGCTCTTGAATGTCTAGTGCAGTGCTCTTGGGGACGGTGGGGGGCGCTGCCAGTTCTCGGGGCGAGTTGGGTTTGATGCTCACGCTCTTGCTCTGGCCTGACCAAGTGATCAGACTTAGGATGAGTTACATCTTCCTCTGACGTCTGTCACCCATCAGTGGCCAGGCTGAGGCTGCTAGTCTAGTGGGCTGGGTAGATGGGCCCTTCTCCTGAGCAAGCATCCCTCTGAAGCCTAGGCTTGTAAGAAACCAATTTTGCCAGTCAGAGGAGACCAGGTTTCAGTCGAGAGTATATGAGTAACTTGATTCGCTTCTAAGACCCTTGGAAGGAGTCCTGGGTTGAGAACTCCAGGCCTCCCTTCTCCTTGAAGCGGTGGGCTGACTGGGCCCCTGGGGAGGGCCCTCCTCCAGCTCCTGCCAACAGGGTCGGGGCACACCTTGTATCCTGTCTGGCATGCTGGTAAGCATGTAGCTCTGGGACATTTGGCTGAGTTGTTCTTTTTTGAGTGGCAGAGTGTGTTCCTTCTAAGGAGTCCATGCTACCTGTCCCACCCTGAGGTGTGGTGGGGGCATAGGAAGGACAGGTCTTGCCCTGGGGTAGGGTGTGTAATTAATCTGTGTAGCCATATAACCGATGCTTTTTTTTTTTTTTTAAAGATTTTTATTTATTTATTTATTTTTCCCCCCAAAGCCCCAGCAGATTGTTGTATGTCATAGTTGCACATCCTTCTAGTTGCTGTATGTGGGACGCGGCCTCAGCATGGCCAGAGAGGCGGTGCGTCGGTGCGCGCCCGGGATCCGAACCCGGGCCGCCAGCGGCGGAGCTCGCACATTTAACCGCTAAGCCACGGGGCCAGCCCCAATGCTTTTTTTAAACATAGAATTCTTTCGAGTTACTGAAATAATCTGTGGCTGAGGCCTATTTCTACCTAGTTCTTTTTATGCACGCACAGAGAAGGCTGGAAGAACGTTCACCAGAGCAGTGATGGTAGTTGTCTCTCAGTTGTAGCATTTCAAGAGAGTTTTGTTTTTTCCCTCTTAAACTTTGTGATATTTAAGTTTTCTATAGGTGCATATATTCTCTTTGCCAACAATTAAAAAACATTTTGAATGATAAATAGCATGTGCTGATTGTAAAAAGTCTCAATATCTACGGAGTGGTGTAAAGAAGAAAATAAGTTACCCATGGCCCCATGATCTCTTTTATGCAAATAAATGTACTTTCTGTGGGGAAGGGGCAGGGGCAAAATTGAAATTAAACCCTCTGGCTCGAGTTCTGCCTTTTCTCCTTGTTTTCTTGCAGGCAGATCCGTTCAAAGGTTATGTAATTTGGTGTGACTGCTGTTAATTTTTAGCCCAGGGCCTCCTACCTCCCTGCTCAGCCGGGTCTCTTTCCAGCTGGGCTGGCAGACCTGAGGGGGAGCACTCCTGATGCCGTGTTGGAAAGACTCAGGGAAAATGAAGCCTACTGTGTCTCCAGCTAAAAGGAACCCCAGTGCTGTAGTTTTTGTTTGGCTCAAGAGTCTGTAGATACAGCTTACATTTCCTGCTCTTTGCATTCGGAAGAGAAACAGCATGGTGTGATGGAAGGGCCCCGGGCTTGACCGGGTGCCAGTCCTGACTCTACCGTGCATTTGCCATGGGATGCAAACTGGTCTCCGCACCCCTTGGAGCCTGTCTCCGCGCCTGCAGGCTGCACGGAACAGTTATATCCAGGGTGCTGTGGTGAGTAGGTGGGATAATGGCCAGGAAGATACGAGTTTCCTTCCTGCCGGCCTGCAGCCTGGGTCTTCCCTCATGCCGAGGCTCCTCTGAGGAGGTGGTTGCTTTTGGAAGGAGGAACTTGTCTTCTCTTTTGTGTTCATGTGGGTTTATGTGCCCTATTCTTTCCACAGAGCAGGCGCCTCCCCGGGGCTATGTCACCTTCAACAGCAGTGACGAGAACCCCCTGGAAGAGAGGGGCCTCTGCTACAGGGACGTCACCTCCCCCATCAATGACCGGGACGTGGAGAGCAGCAGCAGCAGCAGCCGGGGTGCGCGTCCCCACCTCACCCTGCACTGCCCAGCCCGGGGCTTGCTCAGGTTTAGGAATTCCTGGGTGCCTCCCACCCCTATCCTGTGGGGCTTGGCACTCTGAGGAGCCATCCTGTAGAGAATGAGAGGGTGAAAGATACAGAAGGCCCTGGCTTTTGTGAGGAGAGTCAGAGAATCGGGCATGGGGACAGGTGAGGAGAAGCTTCCAGCCCAGCGTCTCTCAATGCAGGGCCTGTGGGAGTCGTTCCGAACTGACAGGGTTAGCTCCTTGATCAGTAAGCCCTCAGGGAAATGTCTTTGTTATAGCACATGTATCATTCATTTAACAGCTGTTTAGTGAGTGCCCTATGTGCCAAGCACTGTTCTAGATACTTGGATTGATCAGTGAACAAAACAGATGTAATCCTCGCCTGTGTGTGCAGAGAGGGCGGGCTCAGGCAGGCGGCAGGCGGCAGGCACCAGAAGCGCACGGTATAGTTAAGAGTTGATGAGAGCTGTGGATGAAACAGCTCAGGTGCAGGGCTCGGGGGAGTCACCACAGGTGAGACCTGTAGTCGTGTCCTTGTCTTCTCCATCGGCAGAAGAGCACGCCTTCTGTGCCCACCTTGGGGCCGTGCGCAGCAGCAGCAGCAGCGAGGGTCTGGCAAGAGCCCCAGGAGTCAGCAGCGAGGCCTCTCTGGAGAGCAACGAGGTGATGCTTCTCCTCCATTCTTGACCTCCCATCTCCCTCTGCTTCCTTGGTGTCGTGGGGGATGTCTGATAGTTTTCTTGAAATGGCTGAGTCTGGTAACGAGTATTTAATGCGTGTCTACGCTGTGCTCGGACGCACGAGATCCGGGCCCACCCTTTAGGAGCACCAGCCGGGTGTAGGTGGCGCAGACCACAAGGGAAGTCACCGAGGAAGCCTCCGTGTGGCAGGTGGGGGGGTTCACGAAGGGTTTCAGATCTTACCCAACCCATGAGGGAAGTGGCACGGATCAAGAGAGAGCAGCTGGAACCATGGGTGAGGGCAGAGCCTGGATGCAGCCACGTTAGCCGCAAGCCGTCAGTGTTGCTGTAAACATATGCACCTCTTGCCACAGGATTCGGATCACGTACGTAAAAGCTCAGTTCGCAAGCAAACTAAAAGTTACATGAAGACCAAGAGTCGTTACAGCAACAGTGACAGCCAGTGGCCTCCCAGCACCGGGACCTCTGGGGCAGCCTGTTCCCCAGGATCTATCCCCCAGACTGAGCGGTCCGCCTATTCAGGACCCCAGGTAAGACCATCTGTGAAACTGGTGGTTATGCTGTTAGAAAGACGGCGCTGTCTGTGATTTGTGAGGCGTTTATTGTGGACTTGTGATGGGCCAGGCACTGTTGAGAGGACAGTGGTGGTGATTTTTCCCCAAATGGCCTATAAAGCTGCTCGGGCTGAGAGGGTTCCTAATGGTCAGAGGGGCCAGTTGCAGGGTTTGTGTTCGTCCCTTTCCACAGGAGGGATCTCTCCCTCCCCTTGGTTTCCATACTCATTTCTATACTCAATTCAGCCTCCCTGAGCCTGGGGAGGAGAGCAACACGATGCATGTGAAGCAGACAGAGTGGCACACAGTGTGCCCTCAGTGAGAACTGCTGTTCCCGCCTTCCTCATCGTGGGTCACTCTGGCTAAGCAATTTCGTAGGGATTGCAGGTGCAACTCAGCACCTCAGCTGTTTAACATGTTTACTGAGTTCTCCTGCCCTCCGTGGGCATAAGTGGTACAAACATGAAAGAGAGGTAAGTGTTTGCTGTTGATTGTTAGTCACGGCTCTGCTGTGCACTAAGAGCCTGTGACTTTGCTGGCTTCTCCTTGCAGCCCTCCAGGGAGCTCTCTCCAGGGCCTGTTTCAGGCTCAGCGAGCAGCTGCCCCTGTCGTTCCTTAAACTTGTTGATTGGAGAGTTCGTGATGGGGGGAGGTCTTAAGGCTGTTTCAGAAAGTCGGTTGAGGAAAATGGCAGAGTAACCACCTTGGAAAATTTGTTCCTCCATGAAAGGCAACAAAAAACTGGCAAAAATGGTCAGAATCAGTTTTTTCAGAACTCTGTGAATCAACTAAAGGCTTGCAGCCTGGAGAACGTTCATTCAAGAGAAATGGCTGAATCTCAGTGAGAACTGCGAGCTTTGTAGTGTTGTAACTTGCCCTGGTCTCATCCCCAACTCTCCAGTGCCAGGGTAGCTTGTGACAGCCACCGGAGGGAGCAGAAGGGAGCTAGAGCTCTTTCAAAGCTCCACTCCCAAAGAATCGGCATTCCTGGACCTGTCTGATGGTGCCCTAGCAGACCATGCTTACAAGGCTGTGCTTGACTTGACTCGGAGCCTGTCCAGCCAGTACCAGAGCCCTCTCCTTGGGGAGGCACGTGTGTGAGCTGTGCGGCTGCTGGAGGTGGTGGGGAACAGTTGGGGAAACAAGGTTAACCACAAACTTCAAAGGAAAAGCTGGGGAGTGAGATGTCCAGAGGAGCTGTGAAAAGCTGGCTTATTACTGGGACTCTAGCAGGCCACACACGTGCTCAGGGCTGTGTGTGTGGTCAGCAAAGCCCTGCGAAGACCTCCAGATGACCTTGAGACTCGGAGCAAGCAGGAGGTAAAGGCTAAGGTAGGACTGTCACCTGCCTGGCTGAGTGTGGGAGATGTGCCCCAACAAGCACCTGAGCTTCTCGGGGGAGACCGGGAGGTTGGTTGGTCCAGGTGTTGAAGGAAATCTGTCTAATCCTTAGCTGACTACTAAGCAACCGAGTGCAGACTTCAGTGGCCGCACATGAGAAAGAATACAGCCTTTACAGAATTGTGTTAGAAAAGCCAGCAAACAACAACTTCAACAAGCAGCCACATCCAACTGCAGAGGGAGGAGAACCAATCTCCAGAGCTGCCATGTTAAAATGTCCAGTTTTCAACAAAAAAGACAAGATGTGCAAAGAAACAAAGTATGGCTCATAGACAGTAAAAAAAACAATCAGTAGAAGCTGCCCCTCTATAATCACCAAGACAAAAAATAACAAATGTTGGAGAGGATGTGGAGAAAAGGGAACCCTCGCTCACTGCTGGTGGGAATGCAAACTGGTGCAGCCTCTATGGAAAACAGTATGGAGAGTCCTCAGAAAATTAAAAATAGAAATACCTTATGATCCAGCTATCCCACTTCTGGGTATTTATCCAAAGAACCTGAAATCAACAATCCAAAGAGGCTTATGCACCCCTGTGTTCATTGCAGCATTATTCATTATAGCCAAGACGTAGAAGCAACCCAAGTGTCCATCAACAGATGAGTGGATAAAGAAGATGTGGTATGTATATACAATGGAATACTACTCGGCCATAAAAAAAGACCAAATCGTCCCATTTGCAACAACATGGATGGACCTGGAGGGTATTATCTTAAGTGAAATAAGCCAGACAGAGAAAGACAAACTCTGTATGACTTCACTCATATGTGGAATATAAACTAAGACACAGACAGAACAGTTTAGGGGAAGGGTTGGGGGGTGGGCACAAGGGGTGAAGGGGTGCACTTATATGGTGACTGACAAATAATAATGTACAACTGGAATCTCACAGTTATAAACTATTATGACATCAATTAAAAGAGTTAAAGGAAACCAGGTCTAAATAGAGAACATCAATAGTGATAAAAATAAAAATGAACCAAATAGAAATTCTGGAGTTGAAAAGTACAATAACTGAAATGAAAGTTTCACTAGGCGGGTGCAACAGCAGGTCTGAGCAGCCGAGGAAAGCCTCAGCAAACGTGCCGGAGATCCACTGAGATGATCCAATCTGAGAAGGAAGGAAGGAAGAGTGAAGAAAAGTGAAGAGAAACCTGTGAGAGCCCATCAGGCAAACCAGTGTACACATAATGGCGTTCCAGGAGAGGAGGGAGATAAAAGCAGAGAAGGTTTTTAAAATAGCCAGACCTTCCCAAATTTGATCCAAAACATGAATCTGCACATCCAAGAAGCTAATGAACTCTAAGTCGGTCAAACTCAGAAGCAAACCTACACACATCATAAACTGGCAAAAAACAAAGAATCTTGAAGGGAGCAAGAGAGGTGCCTCCTCACAGACCAGGTACTCTGGAGATGAACAGCCAGTTTCTCATCAGAGACGGTGGAGACCAGGAGACATTTGGATGACATGTTCAAAGTCATGAAAGAAAAAAGTCAACCAAGAATGCCATATCCAGCAAAAACTAGCCTTTAAAGGTGAAGGAGAAATTAAGACAGTGCCATTTAAACAGAGACTTGCGAGAACATGTTGCTAGCAGACCTGGCCTACAAGAAATAGTGCAGGGGTCCTCCTGGCTGAAATGCGGACACTAGATCCAGAGGCACCAGTGGCGTGAGTGTCTGGCTCCCTGCTCTGCCTGAGGCATGGAGAGGAGGGGCAGCTGGGCTCTCGTCTGAGGTCCTGTCAGTGCCACTGCTGGACCTGGGGGGATCAGCGGGGCTCAGAATGGGGACACGACCTCACGACTCCGGTGCTGAGCAGGAGAGAAGTGGCTCTGCCCTGCAGCACGTACCCTTGTTCCTGTGCCCCGCCTGTCCCCCCCGACCCGTCCTGGCTCCTTTGCCCTCTAGGACCTGGCCACACTGCTGGAGCAGATTGGGTGTCTGAAGTACCTGCAGGTGTTCGAGGAGCAGGACGTGGACCTCCGCATCTTTCTGACCCTCACTGAGAGTGACCTGAAGGAAATTGGCATCACGTGAGTCCCGAGGGGCCGTCTGTGGCCTCACCCCCTCACTTCAGCCAGACGTTCCGGGACCAGGGACCAGCTCAGGTTGCACCTTCCCAGCATTTGGATGGAGCGCTGCCCCACCTAGAATCAGCTCTCTCCTGCAGTCGGCTGTCCTCTCCGTGCCTATAGCCACTCCTGGCTTAGATGCCCATGGCCAGGGCCCTGCGGCTCCTGAGGCCCCCAAGCGGGCCCGGCTGACTCTGCTGCCTTCAGGGTACCGACATTTTCCACCCATTCACTTCTGAGAGCTTCTCGAGCTGACAGATGGTTGTCCACAACCTAGAGCTGGCCAGCCCCACCTGGGGGTTCAGTGACAGCAGCAGCCGGGCAGCAGGAGGGAACAGGTGGGGGAGGCCAACCCCAAGTGCAGTTGCTGTCCTCTGCCCCAGGATCTGGGGACCACTCTCCCCTTTTAAAGCTGGGATCTTTCCTAGGGGGACAGTCTTGATGGGAGTGTGGTCCATGGAGCCTCCGTGCACACAGCGGATGCCAAACCACGTCCTTCTCTCATTTACCCCTGCAGGTTGTTTGGGCCCAAGAGGAAGATGACCTCTGCCATCGCCCGCTGGCACAGCAGTGCCCGCCCCCCGAGTGATGCCCTGGAGCTGGCCTATGCTGACCGGCTTGAAGCCGAGATGCAGGAGCTCGCCATCCAGCTGCACAAAGTGAGTGGGGAGAGCCGGGAGGGGACGAGAGGCGTCTGGAGACCCATGCCTGCAGAGGACACAGCCATGGAGAGCAAGTGGTGGGGACAGATACCCAGAATCAGCAGAGAGAAGCAGCCAGGGCGGGCGGTAGGACAGTGAGGGCAGAAAGCATTAGAGCTCATAAGCAGGAGGGGAGATGCACTGGTGGGCACGCAGGAGGAAGGCTCAGAAAGATGGGGGCCATTAGGCAGGTCAGAGGGACACAGGAGAGAAGAGACGGAGGGTGAGGGCAGAGGACAAGTGGCTGGTGTGGACACCAAAGGGCTCGCAGGAGGGACTCAAAATGGGGGAGGCTCTGAGGGGGAGACAGGCACCCCCAGCCTGGGAGAGAGGGTGACCATCGGGATGGCAGAGGTGGAACCTGGAGGTGGGGGACCCGGCCTTAGCAGCCATGGCCTGGTGTCCCCGGGATGTCTGCCCAGCTCCTGCCTCTCCCTCTCCCATTGCAGCGCTGTGAGGAGGTGGAGGCCATGCGGGGCCAGGTGTCGCAGGAGCAAGAGCTGCGGGCCGTGGTGGAGAGCTGCCTCCTAGAGCAGGACAGCACCCGCCAGGACGTCCACGCCCAGCTGCAGGAGACCTGGGCCCTGGCCCGGGACGCCGCGCTTGTCTTGGACCAGCTGCGGTGAGGGGGCAGCAGAGTTGCTAGGCCAGGGCCAGGCCGAGTCATGTTTCCTCCAGATTCTTTAACCAAGGCGTCATTCGCTGCCACCCCCCATTTCATTCTGGCTGTTCCTTTCTGCAGGACAGACCAGGCAGCAAATGGGGCCCCAAGAATCTGTACCCCTGTGCAGGTCTTCCTCCGCCCTGGTCTCAGGCCCTGAGAGCTTATCAGTGCGAGTGTTCGGTGTGCCTGCCATGCCCACGTGGGTGGGCTGGGGAACAGGGCAGAGCCCCACCTCACACTCAGGGAGGTGGGCGGTCTGCCATCCCCTGCCCTCTGGGGCCATGGAAGGCACCGTTGCCAGGCCTCTCCCCTCACCAGCACTTGGTCTTGTGTCCGGCAGAGCCTGTCAAGCCGAGCTGTCAGCCCGAGTGAGGCAGGATGAGTCCCCTTGCAGGGCCACCCTGGGCCCAGCCCTCCCCACAGCTGGTAAGGAGAGCAGCGGCCCGGCCTGGGCAGATGGAGGGCAGGGGTGCCTCCCCAGGCCAGGTTTCACCCCTTGTCTCAGCACAGTTATCACACTGACACCTCCCAGGTCCCCTGGCACTCAACCCCAGACTCCAGGACGAGGGTGCCCCGCCCAAGCCTATCACCTCCCGGTGGTGGGAGGTGACCGCCCTTGGGCCCTGGCTGACTGTGTTGTCCTAGGCCTTACATGACAGCTGGGGCCTCCCAAGGGCACAGCCCCGCAGAAGTGTAGAGACCCTCACACTTTGATTCCTGGGGCTGGGCCCCGACCAGCAGTCAGTGCTCCGGTCAACAAGTGGGAAGGGAACACACTGTGATGTAATGAGGGAGTTGTGCAGGCAGGCAGTTGGGTGGGTCCCCTGGTCACAGCAGCTCAGGACAAAGAGGCAGGGCCTGTGAGCACAGCCCGCGGGCCCACCCAGCCCTCTGCCCCACAGACTCCAAAGGCTGGCAGGCTGCCCTGCAGGCCCTGAGCCTCCCTGAGCTGTCGGGAGCATTGGAGGATCGAGTCCATGAGATGGGTGAGTCTCCGGGAGGGCAGCCGGTGGCCCTCACCCCTCCCAGGACCAGATGTGGGTGAACAGGGAGAGCCCCTGGCTGCTGTGCGGCAGCCCCGCCACAGCCCCTCAAGGTCATCCATCCCCAGTGCTCCCGAAGGCCCCCCTTCCTCCCCTACTGCCCAGACTTGCAGAGCAGTAAGTGTCTGCTCGGTCCCCAGGGCGAGTGCTGTGCTCAGTGACCCAGAGCCTGGAGAAGCTGCAAGTGCTGAACGGGAAAGAGAACTGGCGGGAGCCGTAGCTGGAGGGATGGTGAGTGTCTGCCACCCCAGGGCCCCGGCCAGGGGAGCAGGGTCCACGGGTAGCTGAGCAAGCGCCCACCTCAGTCTTCCTTTCCCTCCTCAGAATCTGACGTTGGGTGATTACTCCACCCTGAACCTGTGTGCCCGGAAGACAAGAGGGCAGTGAGTGGGCAGCTGCAGCAGCCCACGCCCCAACTGGGGCCAGAAGTTCAGGGCCCAGGAGCAGCCAGCAGAGAGGCAGGATGGGGCTGTGGCCGGCACAGGGCAGCGGCCCCCACGGAGGCAGGATGAGGGTCTCCCGCCCAGAACCTGGCGCTAAGGCCCAGAGCAGGCAGGGCCCTGGGAGAGAGCATGTCCGCAGACACCACAGGTGCCACAGTGAGGTCTGCCCTGATGGGTGAGGACTGGGGCACCTGGGCAGCATATGTCATTTGCTGGAAAATAAAATTGAAGATTAACGGATGAAGGGCTCAGTTCTGGTCACACAACATGCGGTACTGGCTGGCGTAGCCACACCAAGACCCCCAGCCCCAGTGACCCACTGGGACCCAGGCCCTTTTTGCCAGGACAAAGAACACTGTGCTCAGAGCAGAGCCAACTCGGTGACCTCCCCTGCTCCATCGTCCCCAGCAGCTAGGGCCACCTTTGCTCAGAGCCCCCGTGATTCTACAGAAGCTACCTGGAGAGCAGAGCATGCCCCTGGAAATGAGATAGGAGCAAGGTCCAGGAGTTTTATTTACAGAGTGAAGTGCCTTTGCCCACAACGCTGGCTGCTTCATGGAGGCTCTAAGGTGAACAGACCCCCCCAGCTGGGTGGGGGCACTGCTTTCCTTACCAGGCCCAGCAGGTGCTGTGGAAACTTTCCAGACACAGGGCCATAGGAGACCGCCAGTGGTGACCTTCCTGTCTGCAGTGGCTCTGCTGGTGTCATTCTGCACTCAGCCGGTGCTTCCAGACCGTCCCCTGGAGGTGCTTGCAGACTGTGCTGGGATGGAGAAAGGAGGGCTTTCAAAGCAAAGGAAAGAGCAGCGGGCTCAGCCCAGGGCCACCAGGTTCAGGAGGGGGCCTCATGACGGTCTCAGCACAGAAGCCCCAGACCAGGCTCATGGCCCAGAGAGGTCCGTGGCCAGCAACGCCACAGCAAACACGAGGAGGTGGACGACACCCCCACCTCGGACAGGAGGCCGGTGGCAGCTCCACTCTGAACCATGCCCAGAGCTCTTGGGCCTGGCCCTGTCCTTAAGTCTCTGGCTAGTAGGACAAGGGGACGCCCTCCTGTGCCCAGCCCTGGGCTGCCAGCCAGGACCAAAGACCACACAGAGCAGCCGAGGAGCGACTTTATTGTCCTTTCTCCTTCGGCCCCACCTACAGCTGGACCCCACGGCCCTGACTGTCCTCGGGGACCGAGCCAGCTCTCTTTACCAGTGGGGTCAAGCTGCTGTGAAGCCTCTCCCAAGTCACACACCACAGAGAGAAAACCTAACTGAGTAAAGCTAACCACCACCAAAGTTAACAGTACAACATCCCACCCCCAAGCTGGCTCTTCTCTAGGCCCTGGGGTTGCCCTGGGCAGGACACAGCAATGAGTCAGCCCAGAGCAAGGCGTCCTCCATGAGAACAAACCAACTTCTCAGTGGTCCAAGGGTGTGTGCACCTATCCACTGAGAAAGTCAGGCCATACCTGGGCCTCTGCCAACCCCTGAGACACACACAGAGGAGGGTTTGAGCCTTGGGGTGGGTGAGAATGTCCTGAGCCTGGAGAGCCAGGCCCAGTGCACTGACCAACCTGAGAGGGTCCCAGCTGGCCTGGCCACCACCTAGTGACTGCTCAAGGCAGTGGAGAGAAGGAGACGCCCACTCGCCCCACGCACTCAGAATGGGGTGCAAATACAGAAACACGCTAAAAGATACTCCCACAGGAATTCAGGGCCCAGTCTCAGCCCATGGGCACAGACAGAACTGCGGGAGGGTGACCGACACTCAGCACAGGAGCAACCTCAGGAGGAAGACGGGAGAAGCTTCTCTAGGGCCTTCTTCTGCTTCTCAGTGGCCGCAGCCAAGGCCTCAGCCAGCTTCTCCTCGGGCATCATGTTGAGCACCTTGAGAGCGAAGAGGAGCTGGTACTTGGCTGTGCTGATGAAGGCGTTGCTCAGGAAGTTGGGGAAGCCGCCGACTCGATCCTTCTGGGTGTAGAGCGGGACCCGCACGAGCCCCAGCACCTGCATGGAGAAGAAACCAGGGTTGGGGCCATGCCCCCACACTGGTGGCGCAGCCCTGGGAGGATGGGCCTGGGCCCTGCTAGGCCAGGGGACAGGCAGCCAGGATGCCAAGGGCATAATGGGAGACCCGGCAGGGTCTGGTGAGGCAGAAGCCAGCTAGCTCCCTTGGAGTGGTGCAGCCCCTCTCCTCCCCAAGCAAGTTTCAAGGCCACCCCATGCACTTCCCACCCTCTGCAGCCTTGGTTCCAGCCCCCAATCTGCTGGCAGGAAGCCCCCCAGTCCACACCCCATGCTCCCCCTTTCACCTGATGAGTTCCAAACACCCAAAGTGGCACTCCCAACCATTCCAGACCACAAACCCCACAAATTACAAAAGCCTTCATCTGCAACCATGAGATCCCAACCTTCTTACCCCCAGTCCATTAACCCAGCCCTACACATCCCCTTTTTGCTTTTCAGTTTCCCATCTCCCCAGGCAGACACCGCCCCATCCCATCCCCCACACCGATCCCACTCCCCACTCCCAGGATTGGCAATGGCAGGCAGCAAGGCAGATGGAACACAGCCCCGAGGGAGCCCCAGCCCTGCCCCACGCCCCCTGTCCCTCTCCCCACCCCGATGCTGGAGACAGCGACCCCCACCCTCCCGGCCAGGGGACCCTCAGGGGGACGTGTTACCCATCGATGCCTTCCACGGGGCCAGAGCCAAACCCCGGGGTGGGGGGCGGGGCCCAGGCGGCGGCCCCACCTCCAGGCCGTGGTCGCGCGAGTGCACCGCGCTGATCTCCACAGCGTGCAGCTGCTCCAGCGTCAGCTGGCGCGCGTACAGGTGCGCCACGACGCGGTGCGGGCCCTCGGTCAGGTGCGAGCTCAGGTAGTCAGCCTCGGTGAGGCGCAGGCAGCCTAGGCCCAGGCCCAGCACCCGGTTCAGGCCGTCCTCCAGCGACCAGAAGCGCCGGTCCACGAAGCCGCCGGGGAAGCCCAGCAGCCCGTCGAAGCGCATCTGCATCTGCAAAGGAGCGCGGTCACGGGCGCGGGTCCGAGCGGCGCCCGCCTCCCCCCACCCCCGGCCGCCCGCGTCCTCACCAGCACCGAGAAGCGCATAGGGATGCGGCCGAAGAGCTGCCCGGGGTTGGCGGCATACAGCATGGCGTGGCATGAGTGGCTCCAGCCCGGACCCAAGCGCATCGCCTCTACCCGGCTGATCTGCTTCAGCTCGGGCACCGCCGCCGTCGACATCTTGGCACTGCCCCCAGCGGCCCGGGCACGGCCCCTTAAGTGCATGCGCGGGCCCGCCCCCGCCGCACCGGGCCAATCCGCGGGCAGCCTCGCCCCTGGGCCACGCCCCTCCGCCAATCGCCGACGCGCACCGGGGCAAGGCCCATCGCGGCGCTCCGAGGTATCGTTGAGAGGCGGGAGGGGCGTGTGCAAAGGGAGCGGCGGCGCGCGTCCCAGACGTCATCCAATCGCCGCGCACCCCGAGCTGCGGCCCCGCCCACGGCTCTGGAAAAGCACAACGCCCAGGATGCAACGCGCCAGCCGATCTCGCCGGAGCCGCGCGCGACTTCGGGGGTACTTCCCTGCCTGCTCCGAGGGAAGCGGGAGCCCCCGCGATCAGCGGCGCCTGTCCCGTGGGGGCGGGCGCCTCTCGCCTCCCCAGGAGAGCTCAGCGGAGCCCCGAGACCAGAGGGCACACCCTCCCCTGCACGCCCTCGAGTCCAAGGTCACTGCTGGTTGGCCTGACTCCAGAGGGCACAAAAGCAGGGCCTGGCAGAGCTCCAACTGCCCCCACGGTTCCCGTCCACGCTCCGCCCTGGACTGGGAGTGGATGGCGGGGAGCGCTGGGCTCCCTAAACCCAGCCTGCTGGGGCAGCAGTGACTTAAATCCCGGGGCTGGGAGCTTCCCAGCCCAGCGCCCCAAGTATCCTCCAAGACAGGCATCGTATGCCAGGCAGAGGGTGAGCAAGAGCTGGCAACATCCGCCAAAAACTCACTCACACGTTAGGTCCATGGTGGTGGTCTGTGAGATGTGGGGAATAAGGGCCCGACGACGGAGGTTCTCACTCCTGCTGTGGCCCTCTGCCGGGATCAGAGCTCAGACGGGGCAGCCGGCAGGGGGACGCCAGATTCAAGGGCAAGTAACAGTGTCTGAAGGGGAGAGGTCCATCCAGACAGGACCCTGTCTCCAGGCCACAGGGTAAGACCCAAGCCCAGTGCCAGTGGGGAGCAGGGGGCACGGAGGAAAGGTGCCCCTGCCCCAACCCCTCATGACACCAGAGTTAAGAAAGGAGCTGAGCCTGTTTGGGGGAAGTATGGAGGGAGATGCAGGGAAGAACCTGTCTGACCCCAAGCGCCTTTCTACCCACACTGGGACTGTGCCAGACCCAGGCACGACAGAGCAGCTGCACAGCAGAGGGTGGCAGGCCTTTCCTGGGGCGGGGACTGGCCAGCTGAGAACACTGGTTCCTCCCTCAAGCGCCTGAGTCAGAGGGGGCCCATGGAGGCAGCTTGGAACTATGTTTGCAAAGGAGCTAGGGGCCCGGCCAGCGGGCAGTGGTGCAAACGGTGCTGTGGTGGGCATTCTGGGGCACCAGCCTCTCCCTGCTGGGAGGCCTCTTGCTGGGCCAAGCAGAGGGCCCTTGGCTGGGATCCAGCATCCTGGCAGCCAAACCTGCCTCTCCAAACTCACTCACCCCACATGACAGCTGGAGAGAGTGGCTCCCTTGCTTAAAAATCTCTAATTGTTATCTGCCCCCACAAGGTCTTGTGGTATCTACACCCCACAACCCTCGATTCTGACGTTCCAGCCACTTCGGCTTCTTTCCACTCAGTGGACACACTAGGCTCACTCCTGCCTCCGGGCCTTTGCACTTGCTGGGCCAGCTGCCTGGGGCACGCTTCCAGGGCCAGCTCCTCCACATCCTTCAGGGCTCAGCCTCAGAGAAGCCCTCCCTGACCACGGGTTAAATTAAGTCCCCCACGTGACTCCACCACACCACCCGCTGACTCTCTTCCTAACAGTACCAAACCTGGAAGATCTAGACAACTTGTGCAGGGTATCACTAACCAGAACGCAAGCTTTTTTTTTTTTGTGAGGAAGATCAGCCCTGAACTAACATCCCTGCCAATCCTTTTTTGCTGAGGAAGACCAGCTCTGAGCTAACATCTATTGCCAATCCTCGTTTTTTTTCCCCTTTTTCTCCCCAAAGCCCCAGTAGATAGTCGTATGTCATAGCTGCACATCCTTCTAGTTGCTGTATGTGGGACACAGCCTCAGCATGGCTGGAGAAGTGATGCATCAGTGCGCGCCCGGGATCCGAACCCGGGCCACCAGTAGCGGAGCGCACGCACTTAACCGCTAAGCCACAGGGCCGGCCCCAGAATGCAAGCTTCTAACGGTCCTTGCCGGTTCTGCCTTCTGCTGGCACACAGTAGGTGCTCAGTACACACCTGTGGGATGAACCAGCGATGCACATGGGGACTGCAGCAGCAACTCGCCCATCCCGAGGCCCAAGGCTCCTTCTCCACCTGCTCAGGAGACCAGGCCACACCCTAAGGGTCCCCTTGGCTCCAACCAAAGAACCAGCACGATGACCACGCGCCTGGCTCACACGGCGTCTCGGGCAGCCCTCACCCCCTCTTGAAAGCCATCAGTCACTGACACCTTACACCTGATGGCGCTTGCGCTGCTGTGAGGGTGCCAGAGCCGCCACTAGCCACTCAGCAGTCCTGTCTCTTGACCAGGACACAGCTGAGATCCTGCGGTGCTGTGCACGGAGGAAGGAGTGAACAGGATATTGCCGCATGATTTTATTACTATAAATATACAGTAAAAATGAACAAAAACTAGCCAATCAGAGTACATCAAATGATAGCACATATAAGTCCAAGACAGGCCAGTCCGAGTCCCGTCGTTCAGAGCACTGGCCCAGTGCCGATGGCGAGGCCAGGGTGTGGGTGGGGGAGAGGGGAGGGGCGCAGGAAGAGGGCCGGCCGCCTGTGTGCGTGTGCACGTGTGTGCGTGCACATTGGCATGTGTGCACCCGGGAGCACAAGGTAGGCGGGAGGCAGGCGGGGCGGGGAGCCAAGCGGCCGGGGCAGGTCGGCCTGAGTGTGGCTCAGAGCTGTGCATAAGGCAGCGCTCCGCTCACAGGCTCAACCAGGAGAAAGCGAGTCGTCCACTCCAAGCGCCCCACTGGACAAAGCCTCAGGCCGTGCACACGTTCTGTGGACTGCTGCCGGCTGCCCCAGAACCATCCTGCCCAGGCAGCTGCTCAGAAGCAGGCCCAAGGAGCTGCACACACCCACCTGGCCGGCTCCAGGTCCCTGCTGGGGCAGCTCTCACCCTGGTGCGCCAGGGATGGGCGACCCCTCTTGCCTTTGTGTTGCCCAGAAAGCTCATCTTAAAAAAAGAAGAGGTCACCTCAGATGGGACCCTCCTCCACCAGGCAGGTCCCAGCAGGGCCCCACACAAAACAAAGCAAAAAGAAATGCAAAGTGAAGTTTAAATGGCAAAGAGGAAGCGGAAAAGGTCCTTCCCCGGGGTAGGTGGACGGCTGGCCACGGGGAAGCCCCTCCATCTGGAGGGATCTGGCGACACGAGCAAAGCCACCTCTGAGAGGGTGCGGGACTTGGAGAGGGGAAACGGGACACCAACCGCTGCAGACAGGCTGTGCGTATGCACCTCTGCCCGGGCTCGACACCCAGGCTACCCAGAGGACAGGGCCGAGGGGAAGGGCCTCTGGCTGTGGGAGGCAGGGAAGGGGCAGCAGCAGAGGGCACAGATCAGCAGCGACTGCCAGGCTGCGAGGAATCCGTGTACACGGGCTGGGGACAAGCATTGTTTCCTTCACTGTCCGTGACTCGGAGCCCATGTCCCTACCTCCCCCACGACAAGGCCCCCATGGCATCGCCGTGAAGACAGCACTGCACCCACCACTGAATTCTCTTCTGCTGGCCTGCTGAGATCTCGGGGCATCAACCCTGGCTGGGGGGCTGGGCGAGGCCAATCCAGGCTGCATGTGGGCAGTCAGCCCTCGCCCAGGGCATTTGAGGGAACCCAGAGCTCAGCGCCTGGGACAGAAAGCTGCTGTCCTTCATCTTGTACCATTTACAAACACATCGACCGGAGACGAGGGGGTTTGTCATAGGGGACAGTCCACTGTGCTCTTCAATGAAGGGTCGCATGGCCCCTCGGAGCCAGCGGCCACGCAGGGCGTGCGGACAGGAGAGGCCAGGGTCACACTGGAGTCTGGGCGGCCCCTCAGCAGTCTGGGGAGCTGAGGGCTCCATGCTGTCAGCCTGGCCAGGCTCTCAGAGTGGGGTGAGCTCGGTGGTCCCGGGGTCAGGACTGAGGCCACCAACAGGAGGCCAGGGAGGACCGGTGGTGCGGAGGCTGCAGGGTGTCTCCCTGGAGGTGGGCCATCCTGCAGGCGGGAGCAGAGGGAGGAGGGTCATGCTCAGCGGAGTTGTTCCTCCTCACCTGCTCCCTTCACCCACGAGGCTCTGGATTCCCATCACTCGTGAGCCCCTGGAGGGCAAGACCACCCAGCACCCCCCACCACGTGTCTGTGGTGATCACAGAGGGCCCCGGGACTCTAGCCTTAGCTGTGAGCCAGGCCTGTCCTTCTCGGAGCAGATCACCCCGGGGTGCCAGCAACAGAGCCACAGTCCCCGGTGCCTCGGGCTGCTGGCCCCGGGTCTCCTGCCCACCCCCCTCCAACCCTCCCACACTTCCTGGGATCTGAGGAGCCACTGTCCTGGATGAGGCTGGGCCTCGGGCAACCCCTGGCAGAGGGGAGTGGACTTGGACCCGGGTGCACAGCCAGTGCTCAGAGCAGCCCCAGGAGCCCCAGCCCGCCTTCCTCAAAGGCCTTTTCTGCTATTTCCACACTGTGGCCTCCATGATGCTGTTGAGTTGCTCTGCCCCTGGACTGGCTCTGCCCCCTGGGCACAGTGCAGGGAGCCCAGGACCTGGGCCTGCAGCAGCGAAGGGGCCAACACACCTCTCAAGGCTGCAGAATGCACGCCACCCACCACCCACCCCCTTGAATGCGGGCCTCCACGGGGCATCTCCAAATAGTAAACCAAGGGGTGCTTCTGCCACAGGCCGCCTGCAACAGACCCTCCAGTGAAGGGACTATTTCCTTAGGAGCTGTGGCTTCGTGCAGGAAGTCAGCTCTGCCACAGCAGCCCACAGATGAAATACGTTCTCTGTAGCTCAGTCTGACCTGTGCTCCTACTTCTAGAAGTTTTACCTGAATTGCAACATTGAACATCTTCCACAATGTGGAGACCGGGGCTGACTTTATAAAGTGTTAGGCCCTATTTCAATAGAGGGTAAGATCTGTCAGAAGAAATGTGCAAGGAGGACGAGAGGTTGGTGTGGGAACCTAAGAGCAGCCATCAGAACAAGGGACAGCTGCCGGGGAGGAAGGCCAGACACCAGCCTGAGGTGCGTCTCCAGGCCAGGGCTGCCGGAGTGCTCCACGCCACACAAGTCTGGGAAACCCTGGGCCACCGAAGGCGCCAGGTTCTCTGTCATCAGGCTTCCCAGAGCTGCTAACGTCACGTGAAGGAGAGGAAGGGAGTCCCCAATGCTGTGCCTGTGTTTTGGTGGCACTCTTGGAACCATCTTCCATAAAATGTCCCTTGAGTCACCCAGAGGGCACCTCCCTGTCAGGCAGGGAGTCAACCTTACATGGCCTCCTCATAGACTGAGACCAGAGTAGGCTGCTGTTCTGGAAGGTTCCAGAGGTGGGATGGCAAATAGATTAGTCAGCAATGGTGGGGTTGCAGCTAGGCCTGTCTCTGTTCCTGGGATCCTAAAGGCTGGTAGAGCTGCCTAGTCCAGATGGAAAAACCTCTGGCTCCCAAAGCCAGCATGAGAGCCCCAGGACCACTCTTAGGGCCCAGGTGCAGCAGCGTTTGGAGAGCTCTGCATTCAGTATCCAGGACCCGGGAGAAGACATGAATGTGGAAGCAGCCCAGAAAAAAGGAGGAACCCCCACGGAGGGAGCAGCACAGGAAGAGGCAGCTTGGTGGAGGGGGTCCTCCCTCCAGCAACCTGCCAAGGATGCCCTCACAGCCACCCCGCAACGCGTACAAAGGTGAGCACGTACCAGCTTACTCCTCTATACCAACAGAGCAGGAGTCGGGCCCCAGGGCTGTGCAGAGGAGGAGAGAGACGAAGCTCAGTTAGCAAAGCGCTCAGACAGACCAGCACATTCCATAGCAAACGCACTGGCTTGAAAACAAGATGCCCGGGGGAGGGAGACAAAATGCCCCCACAAACTGACATGCTGACACAAAGGAGAAACATGCTGAAATATGTTTCCTGAGAACCAGAGCCCTGGGCCAAATTCTAACACAGAGGAACTCAGCCCAGGGGAGGACACCACGGTGGGCTGGGGCTGGGCTGAACCCCGGTGGAAGGCAGGGCCTGGGGAGGCCCCCACCCCCCAGGGCTGCTGGGATGTGGGCATCTGTGTTTTCACCATTTTCTGGATTTTCCCCCAACCTCCTTTTTTCCCATCATCAGACACTGAGGTTCACTAAGTGATGCCCCATCCACCCAGGGAATGGCCGCGGAGTTGCTGGAAAGAATGAAGACTCCTGTGCATGTGCGTGTTCACGTTCTTAAACACACAGAGGTCAAAGATGTTCAGGATCTCCACTAAGTGAAAAAAGCCAGCGGCAGAAGAGAGAGCGCCCGTGTGTGAGGAAAAGACAGGTACACGTGCTTACAGAGGCGTGCACACCCGCGCCGACCCTCGCCACCCGCCACCCCCCACCCCCGTGCACACAGTGGGGCTGCCTCGTCTCTGAGCTCCGGCATCGAGAACCAACCCGACCCTGCACAGCAGGTAGCGCAAAGTGCCAGGGTGGGGCCCAGGCCCAGGCACCACGACATCGCCCAATCCTACTGTCCAGCCAGGCCCCAGGGCTGGGTTTTGGCCTTCTACGGCCCCGAATGCAGACTCCGGCCTCTCCTCTACCATGTCAATGGCTGACTGCCTCTCGTCCCGTGTGTGGAGCTGAAGAAGGCCCGAGATGTCGGCCCAGGGACGGGGGCCCAAGAGCCCGAGGTCCTGGTCTCACCTGTAGGCTGAGCCCACAGCTGTGGTCCGTTCTGACCCTGCAGACACCTGAACACTCTAGCGGCCACGCGAGGGGCAAGGGGCAGCACTGCAGAGGCTGCGCGGGGTCAAGGTGTCCCCTCACCCATACCCAGTGGGCCCGAGCAGGGGCCATCCTGCAGGGCCAGGACTCCTGGTCGTGGCTCCAGGAAGCCAAGTTCCCCTCCTGACTCCTACCCTCTCCCCGTTTTTACGCATAATGAAATCCTTGAAGTCCTCTGAGAGAACTGACTGGAATTCTGTGTTTCTCTAAGGGGTGCTGCTGCTCAACACAGCTTTTGCCCACGGGTTTCCCTCTGGGTTGGCCCGTGTCACCAATGAACCAACTTCTGCCCTGCCTCCTCACACCTGCTGACCCTCTGTCCTCTAACTGGACCCTCTGTCCACACAGGCTGCTGCTCGTCCAGAAGCCAGGATGGTGACAAGAGGCCCTTTCAAACCAAAGCACGTCACAGCCCCTGATGCCCAGGCCAGGTTCCCAGGGACCAGGCAGTGGTGGCTCCTGGGGGGCAAAGGGGCGTCCCAGCCACATGTGAGGCACCAGGCTGAGGGCAACGTGGCTATTTATCTTGATTCCAGAACCCCAGATGGCGTCCGGACAGGCGCCAGGACAAGCGTCTGCGAGTCCTCCACTCCTGTCCCCACTCTTTGCAGCCCAGGACTTGAAGCTGAGGATCTCAACCCAGAGAAGCAGAGAGAGGGGCTGAGGCCGTGAGGCCCCGGGCAGAGGCCTTGGGAAAGGCAGACGAGAAGAGAAGCAAGACCACTCCCCGCTGCTCTCAGGCCTCACTGGCCCCCCAGCCTGTCCTCCCGTGCTCTGGCCTGGGACGTGCTGCTTTACCCGGCACCATGGGAACCGGACAGCCCCTTGGGCAGGTGGTGAGGGCTGGTGGCCCGAGTCAGGCCTGGGGCAGGTGGGTGGCTTCTGTCTATAGCTCCCTGGGGCAGAGGCTCTGCCACTGGGGCACTGGCAGGCCCAAGGATGAAGGAAGACATGGCAATGGCAGTGGGACCAGATCTGCTCGTGGGGCCCGGAGCAGGACACAGTCAGGGAGCAGGTCCTTACATAAGCAGCCTTTCCCGCCTGCTTGAGGCTGAACAGGCTCCGGGGCGGGCAGGGGCCACCGGCATAGGCTCTGCCCCAGAGAGCCAGGCCCAGCAGGAGGGGTGACTGTGGAACTGAGCTGCTGAGCCTGGGGAGTCGACGGAAGGAGCGTGGGCTCCCCATGGGCCAGCCCCTCCCTGAGCAGTCAGAGCAGGCCCCCAGCTCCACAGAGACAGTCACAGCACCACCCCCAGCCTGGCCAGCCCCCAGCTCCACAGAGACAGTCACGGCACCACCCTCCGGCCCAGCAGGAGCCCCCTCTAAGGGGACAGTCATGGCACTGCCCTCAGGCCCAGCAGGCCCCTAGCACCAATGGAGACAGTCATGGCACCAAGTCAGGGGTCAAGTGCTGTTACCTGGCAGGTAGATGTCGGCAGGCGGGCGGGGCTGGCCGCGGCCACAGGGCTGGGGGCTGCCATCCTGCAGGACATTCTCGATGGACGGCACTCGGCTCCCTGCAGAAGAGGGGACAGGTCAGGGACCCACAGGCGGGAGGTGGGTCCAGCCATCCCTCTGGTCAGGAGCCCCAGGAGCCCATCTTCCTCCCCAAGGGTTCTACAGCCACTGGGGGCCCAGGATTCGGCCCCAGACTGCCCCCCAACTCCCCCCAACTCTCCAGGGACCCCAGAGGTAGAGGTTTTCTTTCCTCCCTCTCTTTCCTTCTCTCCCAGCCCAATGTGAAGCTTTGGTTTTGTTTTTAGGACGAAATCATTACATACCCACTTAAAGCAAGATGAAATGGTAATAAATTTAACCGTCTCCGCTTTATCTTTCTGGAGGAGCAGGCGGGGCCACAGCCCGCCGGCCCACACGCTCCACAGCAAGGAGCTCGTGCGGTCCTGTGTGGGACCTACGCACGTGGCTGTCCTCCCTCTCACATGTCACTTTTCAGCCTCCTCGTGCAGGAGCTCCCCTCCAGCAGAAGAGGGGCCTGGACCCCGTGACAGGCACACCCGAGGGCCGCCCAGTCCCGGCACAGGCAGGAAGCAGCGGACAGTGCAGGAGGGTCGCGCTCGTCCTGGGGCGGGGGGCGGGACGTGAGGCCTAATGGGGAGAAGGACTTGCTCTGCTCTACGCTGGGCAGGAAGTGATGGTGCCGTGTTCCCAGGAGACAGACACCCCTAACCCAGCACCCTGCCCTGGGACCCCCACACACCCAAGCCCAAGGGCCCTGGTCTAGCAGCCTGCAGGCGGGCCCCACACATGTGTGGTGGGGGCTGCTCCCAGGAGGGATGTGGGTCACCACACTGCAATGCTGGCCAGGGGACCACCCGACAAAGAGGGGGTCACAGCAACAGAGTGGTTGCAGGTTATGTGAGGGGGCTTGACCACACTGCGGGCCTGGGAACCAGCTGGCCAAGGCCAACTCCTAGCTCTGTCACCTCTAAATTAAGTGGCCCTGGGCCTCCCCTCTGACACCAACCCTGAGCCTCAGTTTCCTCATGTGTCTGACACTGGGAAGGAAGGACCAGGACAGTGGAGGGCCAGCATCCCCCCAGCAGGCAGAGGCAGGCCCGGGAGGCACCTCATTAAACCCCACAACCACCAGGAGGTCAGGCAGGGTCATCTCCCCACTCAGAGCCGCGGGGAAGCAGCAGCTGGGACTTGACCCCAGTCGGGCTGCTCCGTACTAAACCCCCCACTTAGGAGAGGCGCCAGGCCCTCCTCCATGGGAGACTCGGACACGAGAGGAAGGGCCTGGCTGAGCTCACACCCACACGCTGGCCATCTGGCTACGCCAGGCCCAAGGCCCCAACACAGACCCCAGGAGGGACCCACTCCAGAGGGAGGGGCACAGCCCCCTGCCAGGCTGGGCGGCCCGTACAGGACATGCACGGAGAGCTGACCGCGTGGAATGGTCAGGCAGGAAGTAAAACGGCCGCTGTAACTAACGCCGGGTGGGCAGGGAGAGGGGGGAGCGGCTGTGGGCTGTCCTCTGGGGAACCGTGGAGTGACCACTGTGTGTGATTCCCAAGAGGGCAGCCAGCACCACTGGGAGAAACCGCTAGAAGAGCCGTGCTGGAGCCCCCGCCTCCCCCAGCAGGGAGACCAGAACCCCACTCCTCAGGAAGGGGCTCACCTTGCTTTAGCGACATCTCATCAACCTCCTCTGTCAGGAAACTCTAGAAGACAAAGAAAAAAGGCGCCTGGAGCTCGGGTGCCGACCCGGGACTGGTGCACCAGGGGAGGGCGCAGGGCGAGCTGCGGCCACCAGCCCAAGACACGGGCGTCTGGGGTGCTTCACACAGAGCCCCTCCTCCAGCCTCTGCTGCGACTCCACCCGGCAGATGAAGAAACTGAGCTGGGGGAAGTCACAGCCAGGCCAAGGTCTCCGAGTAGGGGAGTGGCGGAGCGGGCCGGGCGCACCACGCCACAGGCCTGGGAGGCCAACAGGACTCAGAGCTCAGGTGGCGAAGCGGCCTGTGGAGGGTGGGCCAGGGAGGGGCCTCACCTCAGGGGAGCTGCTCAGGGCCAACCCCAGCCCGCCCGGCGGAGGAGCAGCATCCGAGTCCTGGGAGAGCTTCTCCTCGTCCTCTTCGTGGATGGGGGACGATGGGGACCGCAGGGTGCTGGGGACAGAGAAGCGGAGGGTAGAGGAAAAGGCGATGAGAAACGCCAGCCCCACCAAAGCCAACGCCAGCTGGGGGCGACTTGCAAACGTGCGCCCAGGCCCTCACTGGACCAGGCGCCCCTGGGGACCAGCACGATGCACGGCGGGCGCAGCAGCCAGACAGACACGAGGCCTTCGCCTGGGTGCCGGCACCGGCCTGAACACCGCTTTTATTCCCAGAAGGAGAAGAAAACTGCAACGATATACCCTTGGGGTGGGAGGGCTGGGGCGTGGGCAGCAGCAGGAGAGACCCCCAGTTTCCTTCCATATCGTTGGAGAGATTCCCACGTGTGTGAGGCGTGGGGCCGTGGCAGGTTTTATAGAGCCTGTGCCTTCTTTATACTTATCTAGAAAAAAACCAGCCTGTGTCTGAGGAAAGACAACACAGCAGGGCTAGTCGCCTGCACCGCACAAGTGTCCCAGGGAACCACGACTGAGCCTTGGCCACCCCTGGGCTTGGCCCTGGAAGGTTCCTTATGTCAGTGACAATGATCTGGTAATCGCCTCTGGCTTGTCAGGCATAACCGAGGTCGATGATGTGCACCTGGTTTCGCTGCGGCCTGGGTTTTGGTTGCCATTGCTGCTTGCACAGCAGGATGTGCCCACATCACCAGCCCCCAGAAACTCCCAGAACCCAGGGACTCAAACTGTTCCCCTGGGCAGAGACACCGCACACGCCCCTGCGGTTTGCTGCCCCTGTGTGGCCCAGGACAGGGAAGGACAGCGGAGGCCTCTGGCCTTCACGACGTATCTCTTTCCTGCTGCCTTTGGTGTCATCAACCTCAGCAGAGAGCCTGACCCACTACTGGTCCTGTGAGTCCTTCTGGCCAATCACTGAAGGAAACACGTTATAAAATTCTGTAAAGCTGCAAACAAACCACATCTTGTGCTTCTGATCCGCTCCCACATGCCCAGCTCTGCTCAGGCCCACAGAGTAGGCATGGGGGTCCCCCGCATCCTTCCCCAAGGGGTCCTGGGCCAGCCTCACCTGTCAGGGGATTTGCTCCGCGGCTTGCCCTTCTGGTGGCTGCTTTCCATGATTCGATCGATCCCAGCAAGTGGACAGCTGGCCTGAGACAGGCCGTCTGAGACACCCGAGTAGGTGATCTCTTCGTAAAGGGGGGCCGAAGGAATGGCTGGGGAGATGGCCCGAAGGCCGTTGAGCGCCTCGAGCAGGGAGATGGGCTCGTAGCCAGGAGGGACGCTGTCGGAGCTCTGCAGCGACAAGAGCTGGTGAGGGCAGGGCCGGCCGGGCTCCCTGCCCACTGCCCACGGCCAGAGCCCCAGACGCCGGGCTCGTGCCCCAGCACATTCTCCTCCCCAGAACCTGCTTTCTGACCATCTGGTAGCTCCACCTTCCAGGAACTCCAATCCCCTCCCTCAGAGGGGCGCTGAGAGTTCTGCAGCCATGTCAGACATCCCTGCCCAGGGCTCCCTCGGCCATCAGCCGCAGCACGCGGCCTTGGACGCCCAAATGCCCCACTCATCACCCAGGATGAAGGCAGAGAGGGCATCCGGAATAGCCACTCCCACCCCAGCCTCGGCCAGCCCCTACCTGGCTGTCTGTTCCTGCCTGGCAGGGAGTGGAGAGTGAGAAAGGTGTTAGTGGGAGAGCGGAGAACTCAGGAGCGGTGGAGAGCCAAGCCATGCCTGAGGCGGGAGGGCCGGGGACCACACACGAGCAGACCAGGGAGGCCCCAGCTCCCCAGGAGCCTTGCCCAACACAGGCATCCAGCCCCACGTGGGGTCCTCCACAGCCTGGGGCAGGCATCCGTGGGGGTGACGTGCTCCAGGTGATTCTAGTGGACACCCCTGGTTCACAACCAGTTTCCCCCTTTCTGGGAGTAGATCAAACCAGCAGGCCAAGTCTCACTTTAGGGTTAAAGGTGAAGGGAGCAGGGAGATGCTGGTGCTGGGGGTGTTAGTCAGGCCATTGGGGCACTCTGGGGTGGGGCAGCCAGCTGCCCTCACTCGTGAAAGTGAAGGGCAGGTGCTCCGAATGCTCCCTACGTGACCCCCACCCGCCCAAGCCTGGAAGGAAGGGGAGCTGTCTTTCAGGGAGGCAACAGAGTGACCCTGGGGACCACGGGGGAGGCAGAGGAGCCAGGGTGGGGCTTCCTGTCCTCAGTGAGCACCTCTCAGGTCCCCGGGTCACTGGGCCCGTGGTAGCCTGCACTCGCTCCCAACCTGCCTTCAATTTAAAGGTAAATAATTGCTCTGAACCCCTCACCCCTGTGAAAAGGAAAACTCTCTAGGTTGACTCTCCAGTGACTTCCACCTCAACATCTCACCCAGCCCAGCTGCCACACACTGTCTGGACCCCAGCCTGCTCCCTGAAATGCAGGGAAAAGGCAAGAAAACCAAGTCCTCAGCCCAAAGAGCTCAAATCCGAGGGGCGGAGAGCAGGGATGCAAGACAAGCACGCAGGAGGAACGCTGTTTGCAAACCTAGCGGCAGCGTTAGTTCCACCCCCAACGTCATTCCACTGGCAGCAAGAAAAAAAAGGGAAACAAGGGCATTCGGGGGCCAGGGCGGAAGCAGAGCTGGCGAGAAGGGCGGCCCCAGCCGTGGGGACTGGCTCGCTGCTGACAGACCCTGAGCTTTGCTCCTTCCACACAACTCCCTTCCTGGGCAGGGACGCCAGGACTGGGGAGAGTGGATGTGACAGGTTAAATTAGCCACACATCAGCCGGGGGCGAAGAGGACTTCCCGTACTTGTGACTGGTTTAATATCAGGGTGTGGGGCAAAGACGTGGCCACGGGGCCAAACACACTTACTGTTTCCCTTTTAGGTTTCTTGCTGGCCAGGGAGGCGGGGTGCGACTTTGATTTTTTAAAGGGACACTGTCAAGATAAAAATCATACATTTTACAACAGCCACCCCCACGCGGCGCCGGAGCTGGCTGGCTGGGGTCTCTGGATTGCTGACCACTAGGTGCGCCGTGAGCCAGTGCCTCGCCAACGTAACGTACATGCGGATCGTGGGGGCCTTGCCAAGGGCAGGTTCTGCCTCGGGGGCCTGGGTGGGCTGAGCCTACACATCTGTGCAGCTCTGGTCTGTGGCCACACGGGGAACAGTGAGGGTAGAGGGTCCATCACTGTCCCCAATGTCCGCCCACAGTCTGTGTCACCCCAAGCAGCAGGTCCTGGCCAGGGCAGGTGTGAGAATGGCCAGGTGCTCCCCACATGTGGGCCTGGCTGGGCAAGGGCAAGGGCCGAGGCCCCCGGGCACCTCTATGAGGCTTGGCACTACCTCGTAAACTTATCACCAACATCTAACTCCTAAAGGTAGCTGGGGAGAAAGATGAGCCCCAGATCAGCCCCCTCCACAATGATCTTAACAGACTCTGGAGAAAAGACCTAATTTGGGCTCTCCCTGGTACCATGTGGAAACTGCTCAAACAAGGAACACGGCAGAGAACAAGGACCCATTTAGGGGCAACTGTAACCCTGCGGAAGGGAAGGCATTGGTCCTCTGGGGTGAGCGAAGGTTACAGTCCAAGCCCCAGGCCGCCTTGCGCTGCGGGCGGTGTCTCGGCTCTCTCAGGATGGCGACAACCACAGGAGGGCCCAGCCTGACCCTCAGCCACCAGGGACAGGCACACACAAGCAGTAAGGGAAACCCACCACCTGAGCATCCACCCCTCTGTAAGAACAGTAAGAAACCTCTTCCTGGGCAAGTCCCACTAAGTGCTGCTCCTCTCTCCAGCTGGAGGAAGCACGCCGAGCTCCTGAATAGAGCCCACTGTTCAACATGCTGGAGGCCCTGATCTGGGGGCCCTGGTTCAGACGGGGGCCCAGCAGGTTGTGGCTGGCCCCGGAGAAGCGGGTCTGCTCCAGCTGCGAGACCACACCTTCAGATGTTGAAAGAGAAGCCAGAAATCTCAGTTTTAAGGGAAATTCCTAGACTTTTAAGTGTTGGCCAAGTTTTCAGAAACACTGTGTGGACGGAACACATCACACCTGCTGGCCCAGCGCCGAAGTCCATCTTGTGGGTACTCCAGTCCAAAGGGTTTTGGTCCTTTTTTCTTTTTAGAGAGCCGGCAGGGCCTCTAAGAATGACTGGGTCCAAACAATCTCAGTTGAGAGCCAAGAAAACAGACTTTCCAGGTGACAATGCTCGTGGCCAGCTGCGATCAGGGAGCTCGAGACTCGGGCCTGCCCCACACTCGCCCCTCAGTCCTTCCGCCCCTGTCTGACCACCTGAGCCTCTCCTTTCTCCCCCCTTCCCCATCTCTGTGTCTCTCTCTCTGTATCTCTCTCCCACCCTGTCTGTGTCTCTTCCCGTGTCTCTCTGCATCCCTGTCTCTCTCTGTCTCTCCACATCTCTGCCCATCTTTCTCTGTCTCTATCTCTCCCCATGTCTCTCTGTGCCTCTATATCTCTGTGTCTCTGTCTCTCTATGTCTCTGTCTGTCCATCTCTCTCGAGATCCCTGAAGCCAGAGTCCAACTTCCCTCATCTGCCTGGCAGCAAGGTCTACCTCACAGTTTCTCAGGGAGCAAGTGTAATGGGCAGTTGCCGAGGTGCCCTCCTGTGCGCCCAGGCTGGGGAGAGGTGGGCAGGGAAGGCGCAGAGGACATGTCACAGCCACCTCTTGGAGGAGACTTCGTTTCCTAAGACCCACAGATTGCCCCTGGTTATCTGGCTTGGTGGAGGGATGGTGACAGACACGGGGGCTCAAACTCGAGAAGGGGCAGCCGCCACCGCCAGGCTCTTGCTATTGGCAGGAGCATCAACAGCCCCAGCGGCCGGAGCTCACTGGGCTCAGCCTAGGGCACCCCCTCAACCCCAGAGCCACCGTGGAGGCCACGCCTGGCCCACCAAGCAGATGAGGACAGGGGCCAAGACAGCCGGTAGGCGGAGGTACTGGCCAGACAGTCTGGGTGCTGCCCTGGCACTTCCTCAAGGGCAGTGCCTAGACGGGCCTCCTCCTGGCCACACCACCTGGCCCCACAGGGAGCCAGGTGCTGTCCTAACCCGACTGCGGGCCCTGCACAATGGGTGGCAGCTTCCTCCAGAACTCTTCGTCTCCACCCCCACACCTCCCAGGGCAGGAAGGAAGAGGCGCTTACAGAATGTTCGTCGTGGTCCATGCTCTGGGCCAGAACGGGGCTGAAGGAGACGGGGGACAGGGCTCCTGGCTTCTTCCTCACCGCCCGGATCTGCAGAAGGGCCCGGAAAGCTGTGGCAGAAGGGAGGGGCTCACGTGAGGCAAGGGGCAGCCGGTTCCAGCAGCACTGAGACCCTCCACGCTCCAGGGACACTGACCACCCCCTACTCCACGGGGGTCCTGGGACAAGCCACATTCCGGAATCAGAGACGAAACAGAGTCATGACAAAATGGCCCCAGCATGGAGACATATGAGGCCAGGACAGCACCAGCCCAGTTCAGATGGCGCTTCTGGGGCGGCAGGCAGGGAGCAGCCAGCCTCTCGTCCGCGAACCCCAGACCGCACACTAGGCAGCAGACGCCACTGCCAGTTACACCTGTCGACCAGCTAAAAGCGTGTGGTGTGCTCTGGACACCGGCTGGTCTCTTCCCGGACTTTACACCAAGCAAGTGGCCCGCAGGCAGGCAGATGTGCACAGGAACGGCCGACAGCACGACACCTAGGCTGGGAAAACTAGAAGCAGCAGACACTGACCAGCAGGGAAGTGGGAAAATAAACCAGGACCCAGGCCACCAGGCATCCCAAGCGTCCGTCCCCTAACAGCAATGTGATGTCTGGAAGACACCGTGAGGTGAAGGTGTAGGTCACATACGGTCCACAGTCACAAACGGTACCAGCCGGGCCCCAATAAAAGAGTCATGTCCCTGGTGGTGACGGCAGTCGCCCCAATCTGTAGGCCTCAGGGACAAGGGCCCTGGCCCAACTCGCCCTGCCCAAGTGCTGGTCCTCCAGACTATGCTGTGCTCCTCAGAATGCCCCAGGAGGCCGGGGTGAGCACGGCAGGCTGGCCTTCCATCTCAGCTCAGGGTCCTGCCAGCTCTCACAGCCCCCCACCCCAACTTCCTACTTTCCTGTCCCCTGCCTTTCCCTCAGACAGGAGAGTGATGGGCCCTGCAGGCTGCAACTCAGAGTGGGCTGGGCAAGGTCCCTCCAGGCCCAGAGTACAGCCCCCTGCAGCCTCCCCTCCCAGCCCCTGCTGTCCCGTTGAGGCTGAGGCATCCTCCTGGGCTCTGGACCCCCAGACCACATGGCCTTGCCCTCCACTTCTGCACACCCAGCCTGCCCTGCAGTCCCTGCACACGTACGCCCTTTCCACAGCCCACCTGGCTATCCCAGGGGGACAACCCCTATGATGTGCTGGTGGCTGGCTCTGGTCCACAGCGTGGGCTCTGGGGCCAGACCCCAGTTCAAAGCCCACCCCTGCCCCTTACCAGCTGTGACCTTGGGCAGGTCCCCACTGAGCCCCAAGACAGTGACAGATCAGGACACATGGCCGATCCTGGCTCAGGAGCTCGAGGGTGAAGCATGAGTACCCCCGGGGGAGGTGGACCTGCACACCAGGTGCAAACGGCAGATAGGCTTTTTCTAAAAAGCTATTTCCCTACTAAAAGAAAATGTCCCGCAGCTCCCACATCCGCTCTCCCCATCCATACCCCGTGTCCCCACTGCTGGGACCCATGAGGAACCGGGGCCAGGACCGCTGACCCACCAGCTTGCTGCTCATTTTGACCCAGCAGGACTTTACCCTCAGAATATTTAGATTCCCTCTATTGGAAGACAAATATTTTACTCAGAATTACGCCCAATGTGATGACTTTTGACTGAGAAAATGTCTGGAGTGCTCCAGGAAACGATCGAAATTTAATTCCGTGATCATTTCCGTGATCATTTACCCAGC